TTCAGTGTGAATAGGATATGATAGCTGGTACAGTTTTGGGTTGAATTTGAAATAAACACAATGAAAAAGGGGAAAAGGAAGTACCAAGGCAAGAAATGCAATTCCACCAGCTACAGAAACTTTGTGCCAGAACCGTGGAGTGGCCAATGTGTTATAGGTGATTAGCCTACTTGTCATCCTTGGAGTGTAAGAGTAATGGACTCTGATGCCTCCCAAGCTGGTGCCCTTAGTGCAGCCATAGAGCCAGGTCCTGGCACATACTAGGCAAGTGCTCTACCACTGAGCACAGTCCAGCCCACATCAACATTCTTATCTGCAACCTGATCTCTTCCTGAAGGTGGCTGCCCTCTCCCTAGGCTTTTTGTGTTTCCCAGTGACCCTGTGGGAGGAGTGAACCCAAGCCCCTTGACTTAGAACCCATGTGTGTCTAGATTGGCACGTCCTTCTTCACTAGCTCACTGTGACTTCTGCCTCATGCCCCTGTTTCCCGCAGTTATTCTGCCATGTGCAGCGGCTCGTGCAAGCCTTCCTGAACCTGTACTCTGCGGGAAACATGCTGTTCCGGACCTGGACTGCCGAGGTCTACTGCTGCCCCGGGAATGGCAACTCCATCTGCATGGACTTCCACTTGGAGTTGGTAAGCCAGCTGGCAGAGAGTGGGGACGTCACCCAGCTCCTGGAAGCCCTCTGCAGGCAGATGGAGCACTTCCTGGATGACTGGAAGGAGCTGGTGAGCAGAAAACGCAGGGAGCACTTTTACCTCAACTTCTACACGGCCGAGCAGCTGGTCCTCCTGAGCACCGAGCTCAGGAAGCAGAGTCCCAGCAAAGCTGCCCTCATGATGCTGTCCTTCATCAAAGACAACTGCACCCCAGCTGACGTCTTAAGGGCCACCGAGGGGTTCAATGAGGCCCCCAGACACCACGTGAGGACAATGATGGAAAAATTACCTCCATTGCAATCCACTGAGATCAGCCTGGTGACCAAGCTGAGGGCCATCATGGAACAGTCCCTGGAGAGCATGAGTGTCTTTCTGCCTGGCTGCCTGGACCTGGAGGCCCTGGGTCATTGTCTGCTTGCCTGGCCAGGATGGGCAGGCCTCCTGTGGAACAGTCACTCCCCTTGGGCCTGCAGGCTGGCCAGCCCAACCTGGTCTTATGTGGCCACTCTGAGGTGTTGTTGGCTACCTTGGCCATCTATATGCAGGCCCCAGGCCAGCCCCTGCCCACCTTCGATGAGGTGCTACTCTGTACCCCGGGGACCACATTTGAGGAGGTGGCCCTGTTCCTGCATCGCTGCCCAGCCCCGGTTTCCCAGGGGCACAAGGTCTACAGCCTGCTGTTCGCAGATCAGCTGAGCTATGAGGTGGCCTGCCAGGCAGAGGCCCTCTTCCGCAGCCTGTGCACACAGTGTCCCCGGGAGGACTACCAGCTGGTGCTGGTCTGTGATGCGGCACGGGAATGCTGCTACCTGCCCTCAGCCTTCAGCCAGCACAAAGTCCACCTCATCCCCCAGGCACCCCTCCATGCCATCCAGGACTACCTGGCACATCACTACCAGGTCCCAGCACAGACCCTGTCCTCAGCAGCTGTGTTCAGAGACCAGATGTGTGTGGGGATCGTGGCCTCGGAGAGAGCGGGAGTTGGTAATGAGAACACTGGGGTGGGCAGGCAGTCTCTCAGGGTTTCCCAATGACCCCTGCCTCTGCAGCAGTGGGCACCTCAGATGACACCCCTCTGCAGGTGGGAAAGTGAGTCTCAGGAGGGTCTGACTGCCTACAGTCAGTACTTCCTCTAGAAGGGGCCCCCTTTCCACCCACGTTGCAGTTCCTGGGAGCCCAGCTCCTCCTTGGATGGACTTCTCTGCAGGTCACTTTTTTCTTGTGTAAACCCTTGACCTTTTCTGGGTCGCATTAGTGTGAGCAGAGGAGGCACAGCTGCTCTGGCTCCAGGAGAAGAGTGCTTCGCACCCTCCCTTCAGTCACTGACATGTGTCCTTGGAAAGAAGTGGTGACTTCCATTCTGTTGATTTCATCCCATGAACATCACTGTGCCCTGTCAGGACAAAACCTGCCCTCCCCTCCCTGCTCGGGACATACCTCTGCTTTTACATTATTACACTTCCACTGCTGTCATCATGGAGAATGCCAGGATGCTGAGTGGGTGACAGCTGGGGACTCTGGCTTCATGGTGGAGTTGTGCTCTATTCTGATATTCCCTTGCATCACTTTTGAATTTTACACAGAGAAGTAACTGTTTTTATTATTTTTAAACTGGATTTGCCCCAGGGGTGCCCTACCACTGAGCCACATCCCCAACCTTTTTTATTTTTTTATTTTGAGACATGGTCTCACTAAGTTGTTTAGGGCCTCAGTAAATTGCTGACGCTGGTCTTGAACTTGCAATCCTCTTGCCACAGCCTCCCAAGTAGGTGGGATTACACGCAGGTGCCACTGCTCTTGCCTGAGATGTAATTTCTAATCTCTCTGGATTCTCTTCCTCTTGGTCCATAGGCTTGGGATCTCATTTCCTTATTTTAACATTACAGGGAAATCTCTCTATGTGAAGAGATTGCATGAAAAACTGAAAAAGAAGTTAAACAGTGAAAAGGTCCCTTTAAAGATTGTTCGGTTGACTGACACTCGGGTGGATGAGGGCCGCGTCCTGGGCTCCCTCCTGTCTTTCTGGGATTCTCAGTATGGGAAAAAGCCCATGATATTCCACTTTGATGTGACTGCTTCGGTAAGTTCCCATATGGCAACCAAATGGCCACATCAGAAGGTGTAATTCCAAGGGCCCCACCTGCTTCTCCCTGTATGAAGAGTCTCTTCTTTCTACACCTACCTGTGGTCGATACCCTTCTCTCAAGGAACAAGACAGGAGGGTCCTGGGGGTTGGGAGAGATGGTTGGCAATTGTTTATTTTTAAACCCATGCTTCTCTGTCTTTAGGTACAGTCTGGAACTTGGGTCTTTCTTTTCAAACTCCTCATTTTACAATACCTAATGGATACAAGTGGGAAAATGTGGCTTCAGAATCCGTGCCATTTATATATCATTGAAATTACAGAAAGAAATTTAGTGCAGTCAAGGAGGTCTTCAAAGCAGGTATGTACAAGGGCATTTGCAGGTGGTCATGGTACACTTTTGATTCTGTGGCCTGTGGCTTGGGGTGACACATCTTAGTTGTTTCCCACTTTTGCCTTAGAGGAGCAGCATGTACAGTGTCAGGGGAAATGCATGCTTGGGCTTAGAATTCAATGATGTCTGGAATGAGAATGCTCTTGTGTTGATTGGCAGCATCTTGGATTTGTCTGGATCCGTCAGATTGGTGCTGTGTGTCTGGGTTGAGTCCCAGCCATGCTGAGTGATGGGAGATTCCTCTGTTGACAGACACTGTCTCCTATGTTCACTGCCAGTGAACATGGAAGGGACACTTCACTCATAGAAACCCATTAGCTGGTGGGAGTTCTATTGTCACACACCGTTTGTGCTTAGTGGAGAGATGGAGCCGCAGGATTGGAAATGGCTTCCTGGTTCATAATACAGCTGCCATAGTTGAGCTTTTGTAGTACCCTAACGTGCAGATGCCAGCCTCTGTGAACAACAGACTGCAGAAAGCCACATGCATTCAAGTGATTTTTTTTTTCATAAAGTCCCATCCAGGGTAGACTGCATGGAAGGTGTCTGCCAGGAAATCAAGTTCTAACTTCTACTTATGTCTCTCCTTTGCAGAATCCACATGTCCCCCAGTTCAGTTTTCTTGATATCTTCCCCAAAGTCGCCTGCAGACCTCCCAGTGAAGTGATAGCCATGGAGCTGAGCCCTGAGAGGAGCGTCATAGAGCCTGGAATGGATGAGAGAGAGTTCCAAAGTGCCACTTTCCAAAGACCTTACCAATATTTAAAACGATTCCATCAGAAAGAAAACCTAGACACATTTCACTATCAAGAAGGCTCTGTTGAAGGTACCCCAGGGGAATGCATCCAGCACCTACTCATATACTGCGGGGTCATCAACCCCTCCTGGTCAGAACTCTGGAATTTTGCTCGGTTCCTCAACTGTCAGCTCAAGGACTGTGAGGCCTCTCCATTCTGCAATCCAGGATGTACTGAAGACGCACTACGGGGCTTCAAGAACTTTGTGGTCACCTTCATGATCTTCATGGCAAGAGACTTTGCCACACCAACACTTCATACCTCTGACCAGAGCCCTGGGAAGCACACGGTCACCACGGATGGTGAAGATGAAGAAGAGCTCGCCCCCTTCACTCTCCGGAGGAGGTGGGAGTCAGAGCCTCACCCATATGTGTTCTTCAGTGGTGACCACAAGACCATGACATTCATAGGCTTCCATCTCCGGCCCAATGAGAATGGCAGCGTTGATGCCATCAACCATCTCAATGGGAAGATAATCAAGAAAGATGTCATGACAGAAGAACTGTACATAAGGCTGTTGCTTCAAGGCGTGCCCTTCAATGTTGACTTTGATAACCTGCCCAGACACGAGAAAATCTTGAGACTCTGCCGGCCACTAGGAATTTCTTGGGCCCTGGACCCTGATGAAACATATGAGCTAACAACAGACAACATGCTCAAGATTCTGGCCATTGAGATGCGGTTCCGCTGTGGGATCCCAGTTATCATCATGGGAGAAACAGGCTGCGGGAAAACCAGACTCATTAAATTCCTTAGTGATCTGCGGCGTTGTGGTGCCCAGGCTGAGACCATGAAGTTGGTCAAGGTTCATGGAGGAACAACTGCAGCCATGATTCACTCCAAAGTCTTGGAGGCTGAGAAAACTGCCTTCTCCAATAAGGACCAACACCAGTTGGACACCATCTTGTTCTTTGACGAAGCCAACACAACAGAAGCCATAAGCTGTATTAAGGAAGTCTTGTGTGACCAGACCATGGATGGCCAGCCACTGGAGGAGGGCTCAGGCTTGCACATCATAGCTGCCTGCAACCCTTACAGGAAGCACTCTCAGGAGACCATCTGCCGTTTGGAGTCAGCTGGTTTGGGGTACAGGGTCAGTGCAGAGGAAACAGCAGACAGGCTGGGCTCCATTCCCCTCAGGCAGCTGGTGTACCATGTCCATGCCCTGCCCCCGAGCCTGATTCCTCTGGTGTGGGACTTTGGGCAACTGAATGACACTGCTGAAAAGCTCTACATCCAGCAGATTGTGCAGAGACTGGTGGACCACGTCAGGATCAACAAGGAGGAGACTCGTGTGATCACGGAAGTGCTCTCTGCCTCCCAGAGATTCATGAAGAACACTAAAAGTGAGTGCAGTTTCATCAGCCTCCAGGATGTGGAGCACTGTGTGAAGGTGTTCACATGGTTTCATGGCCGCAGCGAGATGCTCTTGGTGAAGCTAAACACCTTTCTCTGTGAGACCAGTGTCAGCAAAAATAACTTCAGGAGAGACCCCGTCCTCTGGTCCCTAGTGATGGCTGTGGGGGTCTGTTACCATGCCTCCCTAAAGGAGAAGGAGTCCTACCGCAGAGCCATTTGCAGGTATTTTCCAGAACCATATGACAACAGCGGGGTCATCCTGGACGAGATCACACACGCACAGGATCTTTTCCTGAGTGGGGTGCCTCTAAGGAAAACCATAGCCAGGAACTTGGCTCTGAAGGAGAACGTCTTCATGATGATCATCTGCATTGAGCTGAAGATACCCCTCTTCCTGGTGGGAAAGCCCGGAACCTCCAAATCTCTCGCCAAGACCATAGTGGCAGATGCCATGCAGGGCCAGGCCGCACACTCCACTCTCTTTCGCAGCCTAAAGCAGGTCCACCTGGTGTCATTCCAGTGTAGCCCCCACTGCACCCCACAGGGCATCATAAACACCTTCAAGCAGTGCGCTCGCTTCCAGCAGGGGAAGGACCTGCAGCAGTACGTGTCTGTGGTGGTGTTGGATGAGGTTGGCTTGGCAGAAGATTCCCCAAAAATGCCCCTGAAGGCTCTACACCCACTGCTGGAATATGGGTGCATTGAAGGTGATCCTGCCCTCCACCAAAAAGTCGGCTTCATAGGTATTTCCAACTGGGCCCTCGACCCTGCCAAGATGAACCGGGGCATCTTTGTGTCCCGCGGCAGCCCCAGTGAGAAGGAGCTCATAGAGAGTGCCAGAGGGATCTGCTCTTCAGACAGCCTGGTGCAGGACAGGGTCCGAGGGTACTTCGCTCCTTTTGCCAAGGCCTATGAAACAGTGTGCAGCAGGCAGAACAAGGAATTCTTCGGGCTTCGCGACTACTATAGCCTCATCAAGATGGTCTTCGCCACCGCCAGAGCATCTAACAAGAAGCCTTCTCCACAGGATATTGCACAGGCAGTCCTTCGGAACTTCAGTGGCAAAGATGACATTCCTGCTTTGGACATCTTCATGGCCAGTTTACCTGAGGTCAGGTACGTAGGAGAGCTCAGGACCCTGGAGCTCATCAAGCAGAACATTTTCAGGGATATGAAGACGGCAGCAGTGGGGGAGCTGGAAGAAGCTGAATCCCGCTACTTGCTCGTGCTGACCAAAAACTACATGGCCCTGCAGATCCTGCAGCAGTTATTCTTCAGTGAGGACCAGCAGCCCGAGATCATCTTTGGTTCCAGTTTTCCCCGGGACCAGGAGTACACCCAGATCTGCAGAAACATCAACCGGGTGAAGATCTGCATGGAGACCGGCAAGATGGTGGTGCTGCTGAACCTGCAGCACCTCTATGAGAGCCTGTATGATGCGCTCAACCAGTACTATGTCTACCTCGGGGGTCAGAAGTATGTGGACCTCGGGCTTGGCACCCATCGCGTCAAGTGTCGGGTCCACCCTGACTTCCACCTGATTGTCATCGAGGAGAAAAATGTGGTGTACGAGCAGTTCCCCGTGCCCCTCATTAACTGGCTGGAGAAGCACTACCTGGACCTCAGCTTGGTGCTGCAGGGGTGGCAGAAGAGCATCGTGCAGGAGCTCACGCAGTGGGCAGAGGACTTCGCTGACGTGAAGGCCCATCAGTTCCTGGCTGGGCACAAGTACAGCCCTGCTGACGTCTTCATCGGCTACCACTCTGATGCCTGTGCCTCTGTGGTGCTGCAGGCTGTGGAGAGGCAGGGCCCCAGGGACCTGACACAGGAGCTATACCACAGAGTATCTGAGGAGGCCAAGCTGATCCTGCTGGACTGTGCCACACCAGATGCTGTGGTGCGGCTGAGCACCTCCACGCTGGGCTCATTTGCTGCACAGACACTGTCTCAGGAATACTGGAACAAGCAGCAGCAACACTCCTTTGCAGATTTCCTCCAGGCCCAACTTCGCAATGCAGACTCAGAGCGCCATGCCATCTTTACAGAGGTGACTGCCCCCACAGTCTTTCCCTTTCCTCTTTTACCCAGGAGCCAGGAGGTCTCCACTCCGTTTAAGGCACCATTCAGTCTGGGAAATGGATGTGTCCCCTTCATGTTAGGATCAAGGAGGATAAGTTCAGTTAGGCTTCTCTTGCCTGTTTGTGAGCAGAGCTCTGTTCTGAGAGTAGCACCGGGCACAACGTTCACTTCCCCAGAGTGCCAGCAGACCCCAGGTGAAAGTGATTAGCCTACTTGTCATCCTTGGAGTGTAAGAGTAATGGACTCTGATGCCTCCCAAGCTGGTGCCCTTAGTGTTATAAGTGAAAGTTGTGCAGCCAGGCGGGGGCATGGATCATAGGTGGTGTTAGTAGAAAAGAACCTGGCTGGTTGCAAACTTCACACATCAGCTGAGCTCTCTATTCAGGAATGAAGTTTCATGTAGGAATGGGGTGATGCCTCTGATGGATCCACTCTGCTGGAGGAAAATAAGCCATCAGCCAAAGGGGAAGTTTGTGCTCATATAGGTTATACTGAGAGGTAACCTAATTATTGTAGAGTGTGTCTAATGGAGGGTCTGGGGTCAGCGGTCAGAGGACCAGAGGGAGGGTCTAGTGTCGTGGTCAGTATTCATCTCTTTCCCTCCATGGTCTCATTGTACTATCACTGAGAAAGGACTTATTTGGGGAAGGGTCAATACTTTGGCTTCTTCCCAGAGACTGCCAGTCTAGGCTTGGATGAGTATTTCCTCCCCAGGGCTGGTCTTGTCACCAGCAAAGATTCTTCCAGGGGAAGGATCAATGCTACCAATGTATGGCTTTTTTTTTATTATTCCCTTCTCCCAGGCTGCACTATTTTGGTGTTTTTAATTTTCCATATCCAACAGCCAGTTCTTCTTAAGAGAGGCAACTTGGGCTGGTTATGAGGGCTGCCTGGGCAGGCATCAAAGGCAGAGGGCTCCTTGGGGCACAGATATTGAGTCTGAATCTGCATCTGTGCAGGAGACCAGGAAGGGACTGCTGAGAGTGCATGAAGTTCAGGCTTCATGAGTGCTGGGTCATGGGGATAGGATAGGTGGAGAGACATGGGGAGGGCCTTGCAGCCTTAAGCTTGGTCTTGCTTGTGCAGAGAGGAGCTATGTAGGAAAGTGTACATGGTGGACACACCCCACTGCCCAGGTGATAGGAAAACAGTGGCACAAGAGACTGGCATTGAGAGGATACACCAGTCAGGAGGCTGCTGTCATGGTGCAAACTGCAAATGGTTAGCAGACAGCATGGCTGGGCTAATCACCGACTCCATGGAAGGGAGGCAGAGGAAGAGGACAGCCTTCCTGAACTCATTGCAGCTTTGTGCAGTCACCATGAGAATCCAGGGAGGAGCAATGGGTTTGGGAGCCAGTGGTGACATCTGTTTGGGATAGGTTTGGATGTCTGCTGTGTAAGTTGGATGTAGGAATTGGAAGCTTGTCAGTAATGACAGGGTCAGAGAAAGGGTCTGGAGCCAGGTGCAATAATACATCCCCATGATCCCAGTGGCTTGGGAGACTGAGGCAGGAGTATCTCAAGTTCAAAGCCAGCCTCAGCAACTTGTAGAGGCCCTTAGCAAGACCCTGTCTCAAAATTTAAAAAAAAGGACTAAGGATGTCACTCAGTGATTAAACAGTCTTGCATTCAATCCCTGGGACCAAAAAAAAAAAAAAAAAAAGAAGTGTTCTGAAGAGCTGAGGTCCTATGTGCCTAAAACGACCGGGTTTGCACTGTGGAGTATGGTCCATAGCAGAGAATTGAGAACTACTGAGGGGAGGGAGAGTTGCCAGTGGCTAACTCCATCTGATAGCAGGAAGCCAGATTACAAGAAGAAATGGCATTGTGCTGAGTCCTAAAGGATCAGAAGGCTCTCAGGTAGGGGAAAAAGCAGAAAGAGAGATATTGGCATTTCAGAAGGAGACCAAGGCAGCTTTGGGTCAGGGCAAGTCTTCTCTCTGACATCTGTTGACCCTGAGGTTCTGCTTGCCTCGGCCACTCTTTGTATGTAAAAGCTGCTCTGGGTTGGGCTTCTTTATGTCTGAGTGCCCGCTGGCCCCGAGTTCTGACCAGTTCTCTGCGCCCTTGCTTGAATCTGGCTGATGGCTTGTGTGCCCATGTTGCAGGTCACCACCTTCTCCAGACTGCTGACGAACTGTGACTGCGAAGCTCTAGGGGCAGAGGTGCAGGGCTTGGCCCCTAAGCCTGTGATCCTGTCACTGCAGCAGTTTGACACTGAGTACTCATTCCTCAAGGAAGTCCGGTGAGGTGCCCTGCCTGCCCATCACCCTTGGCCCCTGCCCTGGGAACATGGTATCGCATGCCAGGGTGTGGTAACCACTTGTAAGGAACTCTGAGTACTATGGAGGCTCATTGCTCAGCCTCCTGGTATGCCCCTCTGGCCCCAGTTGTAAGACAGCTGTGTCCGTCTGTCTCCTGAGCACTGTGTGGCCCTTTTCTTCTCCAGTGGATTGCATCCTCACCTTGTGGAGGGAGACCCCACCTGGATGCTGGGTTCTACATGGCCTGTGTTTCCCTTCACTTTGTGGAGTGTTATGATCTATGTTTTTGTTTTTATTTTTTTTTGGGGGGGGGTTGTTTGTTTGTTTTTGCTTGTGCTGGGGATTGAACCCAGGGCTGCTCTACCACTGAGCCACATCCCCAGCCCTAATTTTTTTTTAATATTTATTTATTTTTTTTAGTTTTCGGTGGACACAACATCTTTGTATGTGGTGCTGAGGATCGAACCCAGGCCGCACGCATGCCAGGCGAGCGTGCTACCGCTTGAGCCACATCCCCAGCCCTCCAGCCCTAATTTTTATTATTATTAATTCTGAGATAGGGTCTCGCTGTGTTGCTGAGGCTAGCCTGGAACTGGTGACCCTCCTACCTTAGCCTCCTGAGCTGTGGCTGCCCATGTTTTAGGACAGAGGACTCACTTGGGTGATTCTCTTTTTCTTTCAGAAGCAGCTTAATGAAGACAGACAGACGTAAAATCCTCATTGTCCAGATAGATTTTGATGATGGCGCTCACAGTGCTCAGCTCATTGCATCAGCTAAGTATGTTCTCAGTAGTTTTCTAGGAAAACATAGGAAGCCAAAATCTCCCCAGGACATCCTGAAGAATTTTTTCCATGAAAACAGTGTGGAAATAAGAATGACTCTCCCTCCCAGCTCCTGACATGGGCTAGAGAAGCTAGAGAGTAAAGGATGAAGGAAAAGGCCAGTAATGGCACAGAAATTGTGGAATGAAAGATGCGTCAATAATGGAATTTTTGTAGTGTTTAGGAGGATGTGTTAAAGCTGCATTTGCAGTCATTTACAGTCCTTTTTTGATCATTTTGATTTTGAATCACTTAATTAAAATTAAAGTTCAGTCTGGGATGTAGCTTGGTGGTACAGCACTTGCCTAGCATGTCTGAGGCCCTGGGTTTGATCCCCAGTACTGCCTAAAAAAAAAAAAAAAAAAAAAAAAAAAGAACTTATCATAAGTTTAAGGGCAGTAAGACTATATAAATAAATTAATATTTATTGAACATTTTTGTGGTGTCCATAAATCTGAATAATTAGCTATGTTCTGTTAACTCATGTAATTAAAAGTGACATCTGCTCCTTTAAAGCACTGGGAGCCTAGGATAAGTTAAGACCCAGCCAGATGCTATGGGGAGGTGGTCTGTAGCCACTGGGTGTGCAAGGGGCACTGTACCACACAACATTGTCTTGAAATTGGAAGGCCAGCAAGCCCCACCCTCTGAACACGGGGCTGCTGAGAAGGACAGAGTAGTGTCCTAGGGACAGAAAAGTGAAATCACAGAAAAGGAAAACAGGAAGCAACCAGCTTCACAGGGAAAAGCTTTTGCTGTAATCAATCAATCCCCCTGAACCCCTAGTTCAGGCAGTTTTAGAACTTTATATCTAGTGTATAGGAGGAGGGACTCAGAGGTTCACATTCTACAGAAGTTCCAATGACAACAAGTTTTTCTTTCACTATTCTGGGCCAATTAATCCCTCAAAGATACTTTTTGCAAGAATTAGCACTGGAGAAAGGGAGAGCCCTCACTCCCACCCCCAGCTGTTTCCATGGAACCCAATTAGTAACACTTTCCCTTTTTTAAATTTATATTTTATTTTTTATTGATTTTTTTAAATGACAGTGGAATGCTTTATAATACTTGTTACACATATAGAGCACAATTTTTCATATCTCTAGTTGTATATAAAGTATGTTCACATCAATTCATATCTTCATACATGTACTTTGGATAATGATGTCCATCACATTCCACCATCCTTATTAAGCCCCTGCCCCCTCCCTTTCCTTCCCAGCCCTCTGCCCTATCTAGAGTTCCTCTATTCCTCCCACATTCCCCCTCCCTACCCCACTATGAGTCAGTCACCTTATATCAGAGAAAACATTCATCCTTTGTTTATTTGGGATTGGCTAACTTCGCTTAGCATTATCTTTTCCAACTGCATCCATTAACCTGCAAATACCATGATTTTATTCTCTTTTATTACTGAATAATATTCCCTTGTGTATATATGCCACATTTTTTTTATCCATTCATCCACTGAAAGGCATCAAGTTTGGCTCCACAGTTTAGCTATTGTGAATTGTGCTGCTATAAACATTGATGTGGCTGTGTCCCTGTAGTATGCTGTTTTTAAGTCCTCTAGGTGTAGTTCGAGGAGAGGAATAGCTGGGTCAACTGGTGGTTCCATACCCAGTTTTCCAAGGAATCTCCATACTGCTTTCCAAATTGGCTGCACCAATTTGCAGTTCCACCAGAAATATATGAGTGTACCTTTTTTCCCATATCCTCACCAACACCTATTGTTGTTTGTCTTCATAATAGCTGTCATTCTGATTGGAGTGAGATGATATCTTAGAGTGGTTTTTATTTTCAATTCTCTGATTGCTAGAGATGATGAGCATTTTTTCATATATTTGTTGATTGAATGTATATCCTCTTCTGAGAAGTGTCTGTTCAGGTCCTTGCCCATTTGTTGATTGGGTTATTTGTTTTTTCAGTGTTTAGCTTTTTGAGTTCTTTATATACCCTAAAGATTAGTGCTCTATCTGATGTGTGAGGGGTAAAAATTTGCTCCCAAGATGTAGGCTCTTTATTCATCTCACTGATTGTTTCTTTTGCTGAGAAGAAACTTTTTAGTTTGATTCCATCCCATTTATTGATTCTTGCTTTTAATTCTTGCACTATAGGAGTCTTAATAAGGAAGTTGGGGTCTAATCCCACATGATGAAGATCTGGGCCCATTTTTTATTCTATTAGACACAGAGTCTCTGGTTTAATTCCTAGGTTCTTGATCCATTTTGAATTAATTTTTATGCATGGTGAAATTTGAAGTTTAATTTCATTTTGTTGTATACGGATTTCCAGTTTTCCCATCACCATTTGTTGAAAATGCTGTCTTTTCTCCAGTGCATGGTTTTGGCACCTTTTTCTAATATAAGATAATTGTAATTTTGTGGGTGAGTCGCTGTGTCCTCTATTCTGTACCATTGGTCTACCAGTCTATTTTGGTGTCAATACCATGCTGTTTTTGTTACTATTACTCTGTAGTATAGTTTAAGTTCTGGTATAGCGATACCACCTGCTTCACTTTTCCTGCTTAGGATTGCTTTAGCTATTCTGGGTCTCTTATTTTTCCAGATGAATTTCATGATTGCTTTTTCTATTTCTGTGAGAAATGCCATTGGGATTTTGATTGGAATTGCATTAAATCTGTATTGTGCTTTTGGTAGTATGGTCATTTTGATAATATTAATTCTGCCTATCCAAGAGCAAGGCAGATCCTTCTATCTTCTAAGGTCTTCTTCGATTTCTTTCTTTAGGGTTCTGTGGTTTTCATTGTATAGATCTTTCACCTCTTTTGTTAACTTAATTCCCAAGTTTTTATTGAGACATGGTTTATATCTACAGCCATATTGGTTTATTTTTGTAATTTAAGTTGACTTGATTTTCTTCTTTGATTAGGTTTTGCTTTCGGGTACTACCTCCCTCTCTTGATTTTCAGTGTTGTTTTCCGTTTCCTCTTCATAGAATATTTTTCTAAGTATGTTTTGTAGTGCCAGTTTTCTAGCTAAAAATTTTTAACTTTTGTTTATTGTAGAAGGTTTTTATTTCATCATCAAATCTAAAGCTTAATTTTGCTGGATACAAGGTTCTTGGTTGGCATCCATTTTCTTTCAGAGCTTGATATATGTTGTTCCAGGATCTTCTAGCTTTCAGTGTCTGTGTTGAAAAATTTGCTGTTATCCTAATTGTTTTCCCCCTATATATAATCTAATTCTTTTCTCTTATGACTTTTAAAATTCTCTCCTTATTCTGTATATTGAGCATTTTTATTATAATGTGCCTTGGTGTAGATCTGTTGTGATTTTTGTACATTTGGCATCCTGTAGGCTTCTTGAATTTGGATTTCCAATTCATTCTTCATGTTTAGAAAGTTTTCTGATACTATTTCATTGAATAGATTGTTCATTTCTTAGGTTTAGACCTCTATGCCTTCCTCTATCCCAATAACTCTTAAATTTGGTCTTTTTATGCTATCTCATGTTTCTTGAATATTCTACTTGTGTTTTCTTACCATTATCACTGTGTGGTCTATGTCCTTTTCAAGATAATATATTTTGTCTTCATTGTCCTATCTTCCAAGTGGTCTTCTTTGTTGGTGATGCTTTCATTTGAGCTTTTAATTTGGATTATTGTTTTTTTTTTCATTTCAAGGATTTCTGTTTTTTGTTTTTTTTAATAGTCTCAACTTCCCTGTTGAGGTGATCTTTTGCTTCCTGGCTTTGTTTATGTATCTCCTTGTGAAAGTGATCTTTCAATGACTGTATTTGCTCTCTTATATCTTCCTTGAGTTCACAGAACATTTTAACCATGTTCATCCTGAACTCCTTCTCTATAATTTCTTCTGCAGTTGGAGTTCTGCAGAGGTGCTGATAGATGATTCTGCTAATGTGCTTGCAAGCCCTAGTTGGCTAGAACTTTGGGCTTTAGGTGTCTGGAGCCAGGACTCTGGAGTTCTGTTGGAATGCTGAGGCTCAGAGCTCTGTGAGGGGTCACAGCACTGGTGATTTCTGTGGGAAGCAGCTGTATAGGGGTCCTCTAACACTCTCCAAGATGCAGTATTCCGACTAGGTGAGATCTGGATCATGGAGGACACAGAATGCTGCCTCCCTCTGACCCGCCATCTATGTTCCAGTAACAACTTCTCTTATCTTTAAAATGTAAATATCCCTGTGAAGCTTTGGCCCGAAGCCAGAGACTTTGTTAAAAGAATCTGTCTTGGGGATGCAGCCCTGTAGTAAAACACCCAGGCTCTAAAAAAAGAAAGAAAGAAAGAAAAGAAAAAAGAATCTGTCTTCCTTATTACACTTTGCATTTGTAAACACCGCTTCCTGCTTGAAAACCTTTACAAACTATTATATATCGTTTTAGACTGGAGAATCTACACCACTAGATAGCCCATAAGTGAAAAACTAGTAAACGGGGCTTTGTTCCTGGAGTGTCGATCTCCTTCATGCCAATTTTAGTTATTGTAAGATAAAGCAACAGGAAATAGGAAACTTAACTATATTGAGCTCTTTTGCAGATATTCTTTTGCCTAGGATCAATCATGGTGAGGATTTCTGGAGAAGCTTAATGAAGATTTTCTGTGGAGGAGGAGGTGCCACTACAGTAGAGATACTGGTCAGCAGTGAGAGGTAGAAAGTGAGTCCACCAACAGGAAGCCACCTCCTCCTCTCACAAGAATGGTGACCCCTGGGAATTGTATGGAATGTGGTAAAGCCCCTGACAGGTCGTGGGACACCCATGTCTTGACTTTTGCTCCATTGCTTGCTTTGTTTTGATTTTTGTTTTTCAATAGGTATTCTGCTATCAATGAAATCAACAAAATACAACGAGCTGAGGGCTGTGTCTTTGTCTATTTCATCGTAAAACTGTCCCGGATGGGGATCGGAGCATCCTATGTGGGATTCCACGGAGGTAGGGCCAAAGATGAGTGACTACTTTAAGTATGTCTAGGCTGCTTCTTGGGGTCCCCTGCTGCCCATGTCTAGGTCAGATGCCAACCCCATCTGTCTCTGGGCTTTTCACCTGGGCTCACTATTCACAACCATCACCCTGGGACTTGCTGCTGCTGTGTCAGCATGGACTGACCTACCTCAGGAGTACACAGGATGCACTCCACATCCCACTCTTTGTTGTTCAAATGACTCAGAGATCTTCCCCTTGCACACCAGCCCTAGTGTTAACTCTTTGTGCCTACTCCTTGGGGAAGTACTGTGTTCAAATCAGTCCATCCCTTTTTCTGTGGAATGGTCACCAGCTGGATTATGTAAGACAACTGGTATTCTAAAAAGAAGGAAATAAGTTTAATAATTCCACAGATGGAAAGCCAATCTGTCAGCATCTCTTTCTAATTATGGAACAGTAAGTACAGTTAGATGCATGTAAAGAACAGTAGACAGGATCCATGTAGCCTTTGCATGCCAGTTAATCAGCCTCAACACCGATCATCACTCTGACGGTAGTGTGATTGAGCATCTGGACAGAGGTATGCCCCTGCTCATGACAGACAAGAAGAAAGCGGAAAGATGTGAGAAGACTAGGTGGCTTTGTTCTTCACAGGGCTGTGGCGGTCTGTGCACATTGATGACCTCCGGAGGTCCACAGTCATGGCCTCTGACATGACTAAGCTGCAGAGTGTCACCATCAGCCAGCTGTTCATGCCAGGAGGCAGCCTGAAGTGTGAGTTGCAAGGTGGCAGTCTACAGAGGTGGGGGCAGAAAGGCAGATGCCAAGTTAGGCAGCCTCCTGTGAAGCTGGAGTCAGGGCTGCCACATTTGAGTCACCTTTGAGTCTCAGCACCTGCCCTCAGCAGAAGCTCAGGATGTGGCACTGAACTGCCTGGCTCATGGTCAACATAATCAGGGCTTTGGGAAGGCCAACAGCAGCACCCAGTGTATCAGTTGGTGTGCTGTGGGTCATGTGCCAGCCCTCAGCAGAGGCTATGGGGCACCTGAAGAGTGGGTTTCATGCTGATCTATATGACAGTCTTCCTTTTGACTGGGGCTGCCACTGAAGCTTGGGACAGGAAACCCTGGAGAGGCTCAGCCTAGGCACAGACTTGGTACCACCCACCTACTTCCTTATCCAAGTGGTGAATTGATTGTGTTCCCTTCATTTGCAGGAAAAGGCAACCAGGAGGAGGTGATGGAGGCAGAGACCAGCAAGTCAGGGGAGGTGGCAGAAATGGAAATGGAAGAGGAAGGTCCCAAGGAGATGGAGCGGGAGGCTATGGACCTGATGGGCAGTGATGTGAGTTCTCTTCTGTTCCCCTGTTGGCTGCAGGTGGCTGAGATGGAGGAGCCCAGGCAGCTGTGCCAGGGACAAGCGAGCCCTGCCTTCTCTTTATGCTGGAAGAGTAGGGGACTTACCAGGACAAGATCTGCCTTTCCCTTCTTTGTGAAGTCTCCTAGTTAGCTCTAGGAGCTGTCCCTCCACCACTGGCCAAATCTGTGACATCAGCCACCACCTTGCCAGTGGTCCTCTGGGGTTGGGTAGTACAAGCACACAGGGATCAGCCGGGGAAGGTCAGTAGGTCAGCTTCACCATGGAGACCAGCCACAGATGCTTTGGATGTGTGGATACCAGGCCACCTTCTCATGTGGGTAGCGTAGCTTTCACCCACCCTGGACATGGCAGCAGCAGATGACGTGCTATCTCCCTTGGCAGGCACAGGTCCTGGACACCACCAGACTAGTGAGGAGCTGTGTGCAAAGTGCCGTGGGGATGCTCCAGGACACGGAGAGCTGCACACGCAACATGAGGAGAGTCACCATCCTCCTCAGCCTCTTGAATGGGGACAGTGTGTGCAGTGGTACGAGTCATGTCACTGCTTCTCATCCTACCCCAGCAGGCCCTTCGTGAACAGTGGGGATTAGGTGGCTGAGTGTGGTGAGCTGCCTTTCTAGGTTCCTGTGTCTTGGCACATGCAGCTGCCATAGTGGAATCTCAGGACATCTCGTGAATTCTGCTCTAGAGTTGGCCTGGCCAGAGGACCTGTAGCTTCCCTCTGCAGGGGAACTGGTCAAGCAGCACAATAGAGCCTCCAACTTGGTGCCCACAGATGGACCAAATTGTGTCCCTTCTGCCTTTTCACAGCCTCATTCTTGTGGATATCCAAGATGCGCCTCTCCGTCCTTCTGAAGAAACAAGAAGAGAACCAGCTCTGCAGTCTGAAGGAGTGGGTGGGACGAGAGGCTGCGAACCAGGATGCGCTCCAGGAGGCGGGCACCTTCAGGTACTGTGAGCAGCGGGCAGTGCAGGGGCCTGCTATACCGTCCCAGGGGAAGGAGCACACCAGGTGTTTCTTTCTCCACCTCTGAGGAGGGCAGAGCTATGTTTTTGCTCCAAGAGCCCAAAACAGACCTGGATGGTGGTCATGTGTGGTTGTTGGCCATGTGGGTGGTGGTGCTGGGGTGTTTATTGGCCACCTGGATGTTGGTCATGGCGGATTGTTGGCCACCTGAATGGTGGTCATGGGGATGGTTGGCTTCCTTTCTCTGCTTTTGTGTGCTTAACTTTTTTCATAATATAAAATTTTAAAAAATTGTTCTCATAGGATGTTTGCCAGCATGTCATAAACCATAGCCAGGTTTGCCATTCAAGGTTATTAAAATTGAGATGGTGATGTGCAGGGAAGTAACAAATTATCTTCCCAGGCCTAGAGCTTGAAGTAACAGCAAGTACAAAAATAGGACCCAGGAGTGTCATTTATTGCCCATGGTCTTTTTTCTATAAAACCATGACACTTTTCTTCAGACCCTTTGAGGAGCCTGTGCTATGCTCAGGGTCTCAGATGGAGGGTCTGAGGGTCTGAAACCACCTGTTGGCAGGATGATCTTAGGCCACTGAGGTCCTTCACAGTCCCTCCAGGTCTTCCTTCTGACGCCCTGGCTCCAGGCCTGCTGCCACATGTGGCCCACAGGGGGAATGTTGGCGATGGCAGAGTCCTGGGAGGCCAAGGCCCATGGGTTCTGGCTTCCTCACCACAGGAAGTTTTTCTGTTTTGAGTTCTCTCTGCAGTGCTCCTTAACGTCTTTCCTAGTTACACCTTCTGAAGGAAGTTTGTGAGGCCAGGAACTGAATATGCTCATGTCTTCCTGGAGGGTCTCCCTTTCGTAGCACATGTCCAAGCCATGTTCCCATCGCCCCTTTGCCACTGTTGCTCCAGCCTTGCTGGGTTTGCCAGCCTCCCTTTTCACTGCCCCATGGTCTCCACAGCACCCGGGACCAGTTTCTTCCCCGTGGTCACCAGCAACATCCAGGAACAACTGGACTTGCTTGCACTGTACCCTCAGTGCCCATTTCTGGGGCTGGCAAGCCCTTGGGAACCTGCTGGTCTGTCACAGGATGTCATGACTCTTCACCTGCACTGTGTTTCTGGGACTCAATGTCATGTACCCTTGTGGCTAAATAGTCAGCCTCCTTGGAGTTCTTTACACCAGGAGTCCTCTGGTTTTTAGTTCACCATGTTAAGTAGCCTGTTGACTTTGATATTCTTTTTGATTCTGAACTTGTTTCAAATTTGGTCTCTTGGAGGCCCTCTGAGGTGACTGTTACTCTCAAGCACTTCCCAGGGCACTCAGCTGCTCTGGCCCAGGGCCTCTTTCACCACACACCCTTATCCTCTGTGCATATTCTAGTTTAGGGTCGTAAGTTAAGTGATGTCCTTGACTAATGAATCCTGTATACTATATAATCAGAAAAAAAAATTTATACACCCACTTTTCTTTCCAACACAATTACTTAGTAATTCTTGCCCTTTACCACAAGAAATTGTAGAATTTTTGTTATTATATAAATAACGTTTTAATATGAAAGTGAGATGTAGTTAATTCAACCAATTAACAATTGTCAGTCTAAAGTGCTCAGGGTTATTTACAGAAACGCCAACAACGAAAGCTGAATTCTAGATAAACATGTTTTCCTATTTAACTTCATCTAGATTAAATTTCCTTTGGTCTCTTCATCTTTATTATATTGTATATACAGCCAATTTTTTCTTGAAATATTGATTGATTGATTTTAGGGAAGTTGGTCATTATTTGATTTGTTCATAGAACCTAGATGGCTTGATCTGAAAAAACATTATATTCAAATCAGTATATATATATATATATATATATATATATATATATATATATATATATATATATCTTTACCTTTTCAAGGCACTAGTTACTGTTACTAGATGTAGAATTAAGTTCCATTCAGTCCTGTTAACTAATATTAAGACAATTGCATTTGTGAGTCTCTTGTACTTAAAAGTGATGAAAACTTCAATTTACGGCCCTGGCTTGTAGGCTAGAAGGCTTGTTGACACAGAGGAAGGAGGCATTGAGATCTTGGCACTGGTTGTGGTGCTGAGCCACAGTCCCATGTCCCCTGTCCCCTGTCTGTTGTCCTGCCCCTGCTGCAGGCACGCCCTTTGGAAGCGGATCCAAAGCGCAGTCACTCCTCTGCTGGCCAGCATGATCTCTCTCATGACAAAGATGGCAACCTCGAGCTTCTGATCAGATCACCAGCCTGGGCCCAGGACCTGTGGATATTTATTTTCAGTGACACCAACTTACTGAACATTCCGCTTGTGATGAGAGACATGAGGTCAATGAAAATCCACACACCACTCTGAGTAGCTCTCCTGTGCTTGAGAATGTAGGCGCTGCTTTCTGAGAAATATTTGTGCTACCTCCTTCTACAACCTAGAGGTTGTGGCATCCTGGCAGGTCTTTGTCCCATCTCTTCTCTCCTCATTTCCTTCTCTCAGGGCACCTGTTATAGTTCAGAAAGCCAGGTTGGACTCTGTGTGCAGTAGGGACACTGCCCTTTGGAGAGAATGTGTCCTTAATCATGTTCTTGTTCCCTTATGCTATTCCTAGTTCTGTGGGAGGCTACCCAAGCTATTAAGATTGTAGGGACTTCAATTCTAGAATGTAGGCCAATAAGGGACAAGAGATAGGCAGGCGCAGGCACTGGAGACCTGGTTCTGACTAAGGCTTTGGGCCCTTCCTGGGCCATGCTCAGGTGGTCTGCTTCCATTCTGTCTATAAACAAGGGTCAAGGGTTTTGAGGTGGCCCTCCAGTTCTGTACACAGGAGTCCTGGCCAGGAAGGCAGACAGCAGCTGACTGGGCAGGCTTAGCACCTTGTCTTCTCTCTCTCTCTCTCTCTCTCTCTCTCTCTCTCTCTCTCTCTCTCTCTCTTCTAATCAGTTATACATGACAGCAGAATGCTCTTCAATTCATTATACACAAATGGAGCACAATTTTTCACTTCTCTGGTTGTACACAAAGTAGGGTTACATCATTCATGCAATCATATATGTAGCTAGGGTGATGATGTTCATCTTTCCTACCCCAAATCCACCTCCCCTCTCCTCTTTCCCCTTTGCCCAATCCAAAGTTCCTCCACTCATCCTATGCCCACCAACCCATTATGGATTAGCATCCACTTATCGGAGAAAACGTTCAGTCTTTGGATTTTTGGATTGGCTTATTTCACCTAGCATGGTATTCTCCAACTCCACCCATTTACCTGCAAATGCCATTATTTTATTCTTTTTTAATGCTGAGTAATATTTCATTGTGTTTATACACCACAGTTTCTTTATCCATTCATCTATTGAAGGGCATCTAGGTTGGTTCCACAGTTTGGCTATTGTGAATTGTGCTGCTATAAACACTGATGTGGTGCGGGGGATGGAACCCAGGGCCTCACACATGCCAGGCAAGCACCCTACTGCAGAGCCACTCCAGGCCCACAACACCTTCTGAGGACTGTGTCCCATGTCCTCTGGTGATCAGAGTGCCATATCAGGAACCGATTCTCGTTCATCTCACCTCACTGCAGATCCAAGAATGAGATGTCCTCCATCGTGGTGCAGAACCATATGAGCGTTCCTGAGGGTGCTTGCAACAGTGTCCCCTTCAGCTGGAGAATCAGGGACTATGTGGAAGAGCTCTGGGTCCATGCCCAGTACATCATGGATGTAAAAGGTGAGTCCTGCTCAAGATGGGCCTGATGCAGCCCTAATGAAGCATCCTTTACCCACAAAGATTCTGCCTGACCATCAGCAGGCAGAGAGCAGCTAGTACCTGGTAAATTCTGGGACTTGTAGTTTTCACACTTTGCATGTGGAATAGGCTCAAGTTCATGCCCTGCCTTCATTTTGAAATTTCTGCTGAAGGAGTGAGAGTCTCCAGGAGGTCACACCATGAAGGGAGCCTGTGAGGTGATTTAGTGGTGCACTGACCAGCAGGCTGGTGAACTGGAGCATGTTCCAGCAGGGACGGGGCTTGCTACCTGCTGCAAGCTGACCATTCCTGTCCTGAGGCTCAGACCCAGGAAGGGTCCCCTTTAAGCTTTCTCAGCAAATGCTAGCAATGAAAGGAACGTGTCCTCTTTCTCCATGCTAAGCCATTGGTCCCTCCTGAGTCACACAAGCTAAACAGTTTGTGCTCTGCTGTCACATGCTGGGGGCAGGGTTTGGCCATAGTCATTCCAGAAAAGCCAGTGGCAGTGCTGTTTTGGAAAAGTCATCTTTTATGTACATGTGAAATATGTTTTCAACATTTACATAGAGAACCAATATGCTCAAAGTGAACTTCCTTTCCTGGGTCTGCATTCTGTTGCTTGTCTTAAACCAACATATAACAGTCTGTCTTTAGCTGAGAGGGTGTTTCTTCACCTGGGGCAATGCTCTGCCTAACCCTGCTTTTCCAAGAGAGTGTACAGCTAGGAGCTAACTCCCCATCTGCTGAAAGGCAAATCTCTCTGGTTGGTGTAGTCTCTGACCCCAGCCCTGATGAGCAGCCCACTCAGTCCTGATTTCCTGGAAACCAAAAGCCACACTAGCCCCAACAGGAAAAAACATATGAGGTAGCCTTAGTTTTGTGCTACATGTCCAATCAGTGTAACAGGCCCCCTTCTTTTCTGTGTGTCCTAGTCTATATATCCACCATTCTTTATTCCCATAAGGCAGCTAATGGCACTTTGTCTCTAAGTCGCCCTGGCATGCTGCACTGGCCTGTGGCTCCTTCCTTGGGAGTGAGCTTCTCAGCTTGTCTCAAGCCACTCTGGCTTCCTCCCTGCAGGACGGTCAGAGAAGTTAGTGGAAGTCTTCCAGCAGACTCCCCTGGGCATGTTTCTTGCCCAGTTCCCCAGAGATCAGCAGCAGGAGCTGGTTCAATGCTACTTGAGGGACTTCCTGCTCTTGACCATGAGAGAGTCCACCTGGGAGAAGCTGAAGGTAGGTATCCACTCAAAGTCATTGTGTGGTAATTGCCCAGTACAGACTGGAAACAAACATGGAAAATCAGCTTCTGAGATCTGGTACTGCTGTGTGGGGGAACAGAATGAGGCCACACAGGATCCTAGGCTGAGAATGTCCTTTGAGCTACCCAGAACACAGGGCTAGTCTTCGTCATCCCCAAGGCCTCCTGGAATGGGACGTTCTAGTAGTCAATATTAAGATAAATATGTAACTGACCTCTTAAGGTAAAAATAATAAGTGAAATTTGTGGAAAGGTTGATACTTTTTGTTTCTGGAGCTGAGGAGAATACCAAGAGCCTCAGGCACGCTAGGCAAGTATTGTTTACAGATCTATAGCCCAGCCTAGATGGAAACTGGTAGTCAAATGCAGCACAGAAGGTGATAAATGTGGGAGAACATACTGTAGCCAGCGTGAAAGAAGATCAATGAAGCGTTTTGGGAATCAGAAGACTATACCCTGATTTTTTAAAAAGGGGTAGAAGTTACAAGGCAGCTACACAGAGTGTAATCATGAGGCTATCTAGAAAGCTTTGCTCACAACTCAACCCCACCTGTAAGTCAAGAGAACATAAACAGTCTTCAGATGTCGCTTTTACCTGCTCATCTGGAAAAAAAACCCAGTTTTCAAAAAGAAGGGCAGGCTCACAGGCCTCCTGGGCAGGTACTGAGCAGCAGTCACATGGCAGGGTGGTTGGAGAGCCTGCCCCCCACCAGCCAGCTGCTGAACATCTGTGAGTGCCAGCAGAGTTCAGGCAGGTGCTCACATCAAGGCTTTCCAGCTTTGTTTCTGATCACAAAGAGTTAGAAACAATTTAAGTGCCAGAATAAGGGAAAGAGGAACAAATTAAAAGTATGGCCATTTTAAAATGGTTGTTTGCAACCATTGAAAACAATGTTTGCACAGGTAAACACTTAGTGACAGAGGAATTTTCATAATCTAACCTTGAGTGGAAAAAATTAGGAACACAGTGTTCCTGATTTAAGGATGATTCTGAGGAAAAGCACAGCTAGGAAAATGGCTAGAGGCTCTACTGAAAAGCAGTCAGGAGATAGGCAGTCTGGTTTGTTATTTTCTTTTTTGTGATTTTGAGTAGTTCCGATTTCCCACAGGACAAAAAATCTCTTTATAATTTAAAAATTCGTACTGAAAACCTTTCAAAACCCCAGTTTCTGCAGATGGCCCTGTGGTCCTGTGTCTGTGAGCTGCGAGCAGCCTCAGGGAGGCCCGAGGAAGGGCTCTGCCTGCCGTGGGTGCACCTGGCCTATCAGCATTTCAGGACCCGGCTGCACAACTTCTCCAGAATCTTGACCATCCACCCGCAGGTTCTGCAGAGCCTCACTGAAGCTGTACAGAAGCACGACATGGCTGGCAGTGAGATGGTACAGCCCCTCTGGAGGCGCCTGTCCTCAGGAGCACAAGGAGAAACCCTTTAGGGGCCTGGGAGTCAGCATAGCTCAGAGGTGTTGGGAACAACTGGATAGTCCTTCCTGTATCCCAAGACCCAAAGGAGCAGGTTATGAGCCTGGAATGCAAGGACACACTCTGCCAGGACCTCTGGCCTAAGGAAGCCACAGCCAAAGAAGAGGGAGGGTGGAGGGGCAAGGGCCCTGTGGGATCACGTGACCACTCTTCTCTTCCCAGACACTAGATGTGTTGGCTGCAATGGCCTGTGCTGAAATGCTGACAAGAGACACCCTGAAGCCGAGTCCCCGGGCCTGGCTGCAGCTGGTGAAGAAGCTGTCCATACCACTGGAGCTTGTCTGCTCAGACGGGTACATGCAAGACAGCGGGAGCACAGCCAGAGCTGTCACTGCGGAGGTCAGGTGAGACCCAGAGTCCAGCTGTCCCTGGCACGCTCAACCTGTGCTCATCAGTGGATTCGAGGTCCTGGCACACCTAGCAGCAGTGTGCTCCTGCCACGGGAAGGGCTCTTTGTGCACTCACTCTGTGCTTGATGAACCCTGTCAAGTGCCAGGCATCTCATTAGATGCTTCAGAAAGAGGAGAACTACATGCAGGGAGGCCATGGTGCCCCAGAGCCACAGAAAGGCAAGTTATTCAGCTGCACCTGGAGAACCACTGTGGTGGCAGGGAGCCATTATAACAGACAGGGGCAGGCAGGGCAAGCAGAGGGCAGGCCTTCAGGGGTGGGGAAGGTCCCAACCTGTGCTGGGCTGTGAGGGTCAAGAGGGACTCACTGTGTGCAGCATTATGAGAGAGTGGGCACAGTGGCAGTGAGGTAATAAAGTGAGACCCCAATTCCTGTCCACATGGAGAGCTAGGAGTGCTGAGGGCACTTAGAATTATCTTCTTTAGTGCCATCCATTTACTTGAAAATGCCATGATTTTATTCTCTTTTATTGATGAGTAAAATTCCATTGTGCATATATGCCACATTTTTTTTATCCATTTATCCACTGAAGGGCATCAAGTTTGGCTCCACAGTTTAGCTATTGTGGATTATGCTTCTATAAACATTGATGTGGCTGTGTCCCTGTAGTATTCTGTTTTTAAGTCCTTTGGGTATAGTTGGAGGAGAGGAATAGCTGGGTCAAATGGTGGTTCCATTCCCAGATTTCCAAGGAATCTCCATAATGCTTTCCATACTGGCTGCACCAATTTTCAGTCCCACCAGAAATTTATGAGTTTACTTTCTTCCTCACATCCTCGACAACACTATTTGTTGTTTGTCTTCATAATAGCTGCCATTCTGACTGGAGTGAGATGATATCTTAGAGTAGTTTTGATTCTCAATTCTCTGATTGCTAGAGATGATGACCAGTTTTTCATATATTTGTTGATTGATTGTATATCCTCTTTTGAGAAGTGTCTGTTCAGGTCCTTGGCCCATTTGTTGATTGGGTTATTTGGTTTGTTTGTTTGTTTGTTTGTTTTGTTGTTGTTGTTGTTTTAGTGCTTAGCTTTTTGAGTTCTTTATATACCCTAGAGATTAGTGCTCTATCTGATATGTGAGGGGTAAAGATTTGCTCCCAGGATGTAGGCTCTCTGTTCACCTCACAGATTGTTTCTTTTGCTGAGAAAAAAAATTTAGTTTGATTCCATCCCATTTATTGATTCTTGATTTTAATTCTTGCACTATAGGAGTCTTAATAAGGAAGTTGGGGCCTAATCCCACATGATGAAGATTAGGGCCTACTTTTTCTTCTATTAGATGCTGAGTCTATGGTTTAATTCCTAGGTCCTTGATCCACTTTGAGTTAAGTTTTGTGCATGGTGAGAGGCAGGGGTTTAATTTCATTTTGTTGCATATGTATTTCTAGTTTTCCCAGCACCATTTGTTGAAGAGGCTAATTTTTCTCCAATGCATGTTTTTGGCACCTTTGCCCAATATAAGATAATTGTCATTTTGTCTGTGAGTCTGTATGTCTTCTATTCCGTACCATTGGTCTACCAGTCTGTTTTGGTGCCAATACCATGTTGTTATTGTTACTATTAAGGTCTGGAATAGCGAAGCCACCTGCTTCATTCTTCCTGCTAACAATTACTTTAGCTATTCTGGGTCTCTTATTTTTCCAGATGAATTTCATGATTGTTTTTAATTTCTATGAGGCATGCCATTGAGATTTTGATTGGAATTGCATTAAATCTGTATAGTGCTTTTGGTAGTATGGTCATTTTGATAATGTTAATTCTGCCTATCCAAGAGCAAGGTAGATCTTTCCATCTTCTAAGGTCTTTGATTTGTCTCTATAGGGTTCTATAGATCTTTCACCTATTTTATTAAGTTGATTCCCAAGTATCTTATTTTTTTAGGTTATTGTGAATGGGGTAGTTTTCCTCATTTCCTTCTCGGAGGCTTTGTCACTAATATACAGAAGTCCCTTTGATTTATTTGTATTGATTTTATATCCTGCTACTTTGTTGAATTCATTTACTAATTCTAGAAGTTTTCTGGTGGAGTTTTTTGGGTCTCCTAGGTATAGAATCATCTCATCAGCAAATAGTGCTAGTTTAAATTCTTTGATTTCTTTCATCTGTCTAATTGCTCTGGCCAGTGTTTCAAGAACTATGTTGAATAGAAGTGGGGAAAGAGGGCATCCCTGTCTTGTTCCATTTTTTTAGAGGGAATGCCTCCAATTTTTCTCCGTTTAGAATGATGTTGGCCTGAGGCTTAGCGTAGATAGCCTTTATGATGTCGAGATATGTTCCTGTTATCTCTATTTTTCTAGTGTTTTGAACATAAAAGAGTGCTATATTTTGTCAAATGCTTTTTCTGCATCCATTGAGATGATCATATGATTCTTATCTTTAAGTCTATTGATGTGATGAATTACATTTATTGATTTCCATATGTTGAAATCAATAAATGTATTATTTATGGTCATTTTGATAATATTAATTCTAGACCTATGGATGGTTCAACTTGATCTATGAACTATGAATCCCATTTGATCATGGTAACACCCTCTTTTGACAGAACGCAGTGGAATCGGGTTTTCTCCATTGCACTCTTTGTGGAGCACGTGCTCCTGGGGACCGAGAACCAGATTCCTGAGCTGTGCCAGCTGGTGACCAAGTACATCTTCTCACTAGACAAGGGCATTCCTCTTGGTGGGATGCAGAGTTCGGGAGCCCACTCCGCCCTCACCTGCCGGTCAGTGCTGGGCTCTCACCCAGTCACACAGGGGAATGTGGCTCATCAGCTGGCCATTGCATGGATAAGCTCAGTTGTTTAAGAGTTTGCCCTGCCTGATTGCTGAGTCGGGGCATGTCACTTAGGGATGTGAATGACTGGACAGAATGAGACTTCTGCAGGGAGCTTGCTTGCGCATGCATTGCAGGAGCTGAAGGGTTAGGCTCCACCCACCTCCAGGGTGACCTGGAGCAGGTCAGCATCCTAGCCCCCAGGGGCAAAGTCACCACTGCCCTAGGCAGGATGATAGCAAGGTAGGAGAGTACCACTGGAGCTGAGGACTTTAAAATGCATGCGGTTGGTAGGACCCCAGGAACAGAAAACCACTGAGCCTCTGCTCCTACAGCAGATAAAGCTGTTGACAGCACAACCAGTGTCCCTCAGAGAAAGCCACCATCTCAGTGACCAGGCTGTCCAGAAATAACAGCCACTGAGCATAACATGGTTCCCACCTCTTTCACCCTATGACCTTGGGCTAACCTTGGGTGACTGCTGCATGAGAATATCCCATGAGTAGAAGGCCACTGGCTTCCAGAGTGCCCACTGTCAGGATGTCTGGAAAAGGCCACTGTAGACAGGTATGCAGCTTTTGAAATGCAGGCAGGCTCACTGAACAGAGATTGGCATACCCAGAATTGACCAGAATGTCAGAGGCCTTGTTCAGGATGACCTGTGCAGGCCAGGGCTTGCTCACAGCTCCTAAGGGCCAGGTGCCCACACTACTTGTTTCTTGCCCTTCTGTCCTCCTCAATGACCACCTTCCAGCTGCTGGTCTTTGAAGACTTTTCCTGCTGTCTCAGCCTGAGGAGCAAAAGAAGGTGGGGGGTGGCAGTGACAAGAATGGAACCCAGGGCCTCATGCATGCTAGGCTGGCGTCTTGCCACTGAGCTACACCCCAGCCCCTGCACACAGTGCCTTTAAGAACACAGCCTAAGCCAGGCATGGTGATCCATGCCTCTAGTCCCAGCATCTTGGGAAGCTGAGGCAGGAGGATCACAAAGTCAAAGCCAGCCTCAGCAACAGTGAGGCGCTGAGCAACTAAGTGAGACCCTGTATCTAAATAAAATATAAAATTGGGCTGGGGATGTGGCTCAGTGGTTGAGTGACCTGAGTCCAGTACAAAAAAAAAGAACACAGCCCAGCCTCCCCACCCTCACACACACACATATTTCAGTTTTTATTTCACCACCCTAAAGTAAGTCCCTTGGCCTCATCTAATTGAAAGGTGGTGGGAAACCTTTCTCAGAGTGTACTTATGTGCCATGGAACTTGGTGGGTTTTATGGATCTTTGGTGGTTTTTGTTGTTGTTTGTTAGTTTTTTTTGTTTGGTTTTTTTTTTTTTTTTGGGAAAAAGGAAAAAGAAGTTTTATTGCTTTGCTAGCAAAAGGAGAAACACAAGAGACTCCTGTGCCAGAGAATGTGATTCCCCAAATCAGGGGAAACAGAGTGTTTTTAAAGAGGCGATTCAAAGGAATCCTGTTTTTACTGAGGTTAGGAAGGAGAGTTTGGAGAGACCAAGGAGGAGAGAAAAACAGGTCTGCTTTAGAGCAGCAAAGGCTATGTTCAAAGCATGAAGTGGACCACTGCTACAGAGGTTCTTAAGGGAAAAGATGGTGGGAAGGAGCGTTGTGTCTGCCCCTGTGGCCTCAGGCATCCTGGACCACCTTCCCACATGGCCAAGACACTGCTCTCTCCAAGTCTTTCCTGTCCCATCCAGGACCTTCAGACCTCTGGCCACTCAGCCAGGTCCAGTGTGGTCTCCAGTGGTCAGGTAGCCTGCTAGCTGAGAGATGGGTTTTTTACCCTGCATGCTGGCATACGCATGTTCAAGGTGGTGGGAGACTTTTTCCCCAATATAATGACTTCAAAAACTTCACTGGTTTCTGGATCATTTCCTTTTAGTCAGATCCCTGTGCAAGTAACCACAGCCACAGATGCTACCCAATTAGTTCCCGAGCTTGAAGCCTGTTCTGTACACGGGTCTCTGCTCTGTGCATCTGATCCAGCTACAGGGAAGTCCCAGGGCCGTCCATTGGCTACCTGATGCCTGGGAAGGATGCTGCCCTGCATTGATCTTTGCTGCTCTCCTCCTCTGGTTGGAAGCTTAAGTGTAACTGTGGGGACGCCTGGGGCCTCAAGTCTTACCTCCTGCAGGCTGCCATTTCAGAGCTGCCTCCTACAGTTAGCCTGCACCCCCTGGCTATTGATAAAAGCTGAAAGTAGCCAGCACAATGGGTATTTAAGTCTTCTCCATCAGCTTTCACAGGAGGGTTAGGTATGGCAGACAGAGATAGGTGTTAGGCAGGTAGGCAGGCTGCTTGGGAGACCAATTCTCGTGGCTCATGTCTGTCATGCATTTTTCAACATGTCACAAGGAACTGGCTTTCCCTTATGTCCTATCCCTAACCTCCCCATCCAGCACCCCATCACTAGGCCACTGCTGATTTTTTTTTAAGTGTGCTAAAAATATACATAACACAAAATGCATAGTCAGTGGCTTCAAGCAGAGGGGTATTGGGCAGCCACCAGATCCTGCTCCAGAGTGTCCTCACCTTCCCTACCCAACATGGACTCCCCAGCCCCTTCCCAGCCCCGGGGACCCCTGATCTATTTTCTGTCATTCTGACTGCCGCAGGTACCTTACATAAGTGGAATAGTTCAGCATTTGTCTTTGGTGTTTGGCTTGTGTCACCTAGCATGATGTTTTCAAGGTTCATCTGTATGGTGGCATGTGTCAGCATTCGGCTTTCTTATGGCTGGATAATGAACGCCACTGTATAGGTAGATACTGAGTCTGTCCACTCATCTGTGAATGGATATTCAGGCTGCTTCCACCTTCCGGCTATTGTGATTGCTATAAACTTTGGTGTTCACCAACTTATTTGAGGCCTGCTTTTGTTTCTTTTGGATGAATACCTAGAAGGTGACTCCTTGTATTATTAAATTTCTCTCTCTCTTTCTTTCTTTCTTTTTCTTTTTTTGGTGCTGGGGATTGTACCCAGGGGTGCTCTACCATATACCACTGAGCTACACTTCAGCCCTTTGTTTTATTTTGAATCAGGATCTGGCTAAGTTGCTGAGGCTGGCCTTGAACACATGATCCTCCCGCCTCAGCCTCTGTGTCACTGTGTGTGTGCCACTGTGCCTGGCTCAGAGGGTTTTGATGTGCATTGCTGTAATAGCTAGGGATGCTGAGCATTTTTTTATGTGCTTCTTGGGTATTAATGTATCTTTGGAGAAATGTCTAAGTCCTTTGCCCATTACTGAGTTGAGTTGTTAATTAACAAATTAAATTTATCAGGATAATAAGCACATCATTTCCAAGTATGATCAATCCTGGGAATTCAAGGATGGCTCAAAAAATATCAATAAGTGGCATCAGTTATATAGCTCAAAAATAAACTCTAAAGGATAATTTCAAAAGGTAGAGAACATTTGACAAAATTTCTGATTTAGGAAAAAAAATGATCTAGGCAAAATAGCAATAGGGAACTGTCCTTACTTGTATAATGCCCAGTGGACTACTTCCTATAGGAACATCTGCACTAACATCATGTCTGACCACAAACTCTCAGAAACAGCCATTAAATCATTAAATACAATATCCTGCATTGCTGGAGATGTGCATTTGTAAATGAGTGTCCTGGAGACACTTTGATTTATTTTGTGATGCTTAGGTGGAACTCAGGGCCAGGGAAGTGCTGTGCCACCCAGCTGCTCCCCAGCCCAACTTCCTGTTTTCACTGAAGCAAACATATGCTAGACTGTTAGTACAGTGCTGTTCAGAATCGCAAAAACCCAAATACACACTAAATACCCATTAATGGAAACAGGTATCTGGAATATTCGTTGGGGGATGCCATACAGTGGTTAACACCAATGATCTGCAGCTGAGCCTCTCAACCAGGCAATCACACAAGCAGACCTACAGTGAGGCCTCCCAGGCCTCAGGGCTTAAAGAGCAGAACAAGCTGGACAATGGCAGAGTATTTACACAGGCACACAAAACCTCAGAGAAGCTTAGGAATATGGTTACCTGGGAGGAGAGGTGGGCACTCGACCAGAAAGGGATGCCTGTGTTGCCACACTGGATATATTTGTGATATTCCTTTAAAATATGATCTAGCTGGGGTGGCAGTACACACCAATAGTCCTAGCTCCTTGGGAGGCTGAGGCAAGAAGATTGCTTGAGTCCAGAAGTTTTTTTTTAATTTTTTTTTTTTAGTTGAGAATCAAACCCAGTGCCTCACACATGCCAAGCAAGTGCTCTACCACTGAGCCACAACCCCAGCCCAGAGTCCAGGAGTTTGAGAGCAGCTTGGACAACACAGCAAGAACCCATCACTAAACAAGTAAATAAATAAAACAAGATCTAAAGCCAATATTACAAAAATGCTGAGGTCTCTCAGAGCTTAATGGTGTATAGCAATGGTCATCACATTATTATCATTTAAAGTTTGAAATTCATCAAGAGAAGGGAAGGGGCAAACCTAGAAAGAAAAGAAAGGAAGAGGGAAAATTTAGACACTGGGAATTTGGTTCTTCTCTTTTAAAAGCAGCAGAGCCACAAAGAGATAAAAGGATGGGAAACTGCTAAGAATCCCTGAGGCCTTGGGCTGCCCCAAGGCACAGGTGACCCCTGTCCCTCCTCGATGGTTGCCACCCCTCACCAGGCCTTTCTCCTCCAGTGTCTTCAAGAGAACTCTGACCTCAAGACCCACAGGCCTTTTGTGGCTGTGATGACCACTCTCTGTGAATGCAAGGAGCAAGCCAGCAAGAGCCTGGCCAGGTAAGAGGGGGTCTGAGCTCCAGGCGGGAGGGATCACTGTCCCTGGGGTGCTGGTTTCTGCCTTGGAGCCCATCGCCTGCTTGGATTTCAGGTTTGGAGTGCAGCCATGCCTCATCTGCCTGGGAGATGCTCAGGATCCTGTGTGTCTGCCCTGTGGCCATGTGTGCTGCCTGCCTTGCATCAAGATCTGGCTCATCCCTGGGCAGATGACTTGCCCTTACTGTTCAACCAACCTGCCGGACAATTTCTCTGTGACAGTTTCCCAAGAGCACAGGTAAAATACTCTTTGTCTTTAAAAGTCTTTCTCTTTTCTCTGTTCCTTTTTTCAAATATAATATTTAGAAATTCAATTTCTATTAACCTCTATTTGGTAAAAGCCTGGCTTCAGAGAACTCTCTGAAGTAAGACTCCCATTTGGGTGCCTCAGAATTCCTTTCTCCCCAAGACACACGTTTCCTGCAACATTTTGAGACAGCAAAATTCAGAAACTAATAAATGAAACCCTTGAAAGAGACCTAAGAAACTTAGATGCAGGTTCTCTGTCTTCTTTTTTATATAAGTGGCGGGTGCAGGGGTGGACACCAGGCATTGTGCAGTCTAGGCAAGCAAGCCCTCTACCATCGAGCCACACACCTGCTCTTGCCCAGCCTCTGGGAGGTGCGGGAAGGGAGCTATGGTGCTGTGGGCTTCAGACCATGGTTGTGCTCCATCAGTGGTTGCTTTGCCTTTTCTTTTGTCCCAATGGAGGGGTTCTGTGACAAGCTTGGGCTGGTTCAATGATGGAGGTGTTCCAGGAAGAGATGTGTGTAGAAACTCTCTGCAGTTTTGAAGACAAGCTAATCAACAGAAGTAGACACTTGCATCTGTTGATATAAAATGAGTTGCTATCTAAATATCAAATCATTCTGCATGTAAGGATTTGGGAACATGCTCTCTGAGTCCTCTGACTGGGTTTTTATTGTTTCCTCAGGGTGGCCATTGAGAAACACGCCCAGTTCCGGCAGATGTGCAACAGTTTCTTCATGGATGTGGTGTCCACCATGTGCTTCAAGGATAGTACCCCTCCTCAGAAGAGCGTGATTGACGAGCTGCTGTCTCTACTCTTTGTGCGGAAGGAGCTTTTGAGAGATGCTCCCCAACGTGAGTTGCTTTCTATCTTCAAACTTTGTTTCAGTTCCTCTCTGTTTTGTGCCATGATATGAGCAGTAGCACCTTTCTCTTTCTGTAAGGATACCGGGAACACACCAAGTCTCTTTCGCCATTTGATGATGCTGTGGATAAGACTCCTGTCATCCGCTCCGTGGTGCTGAAGCTGCTCCTGAAGCACAGGTGGGAGCGGCTCCCTGAAGGCACACTTGTCTGAGGCCTCAGCTTCTCTGGGCTGGGCTGTGCTTGGTCTTTGTGCTGCCACATATCCTAGCTCATGATCTGGGAAAGTTTCTTCAATGCGAGGAAACCTGGTCTCTGTTTCTTATGTTTAGACACTGAACCCTGTGGGCACATGAGTTGCATGTGGCCAGGGTTGGGTACAAAGTGTTCTGGGAAGGGACCCTTGGTGTGTTGAAGCATGCAGAATCCATGCATGGTGGTTCTCAATGGCCACCCTGAGGAAACAATAAAAACCCAGTCAGAGGACTCAGAGAGCATGTTCCCAAATCCTTACATGCAAAATGATTTGAGATTTAGATAGCAACTCATTTTATATCAACAGATGCAAGTGTCTACTTCTGTTGATTAGCTTGTCTTCAAAACTGCAGGAATGGTGGTTCTGACCCTAGCTCCATGGCCACCCAGGGTGTGATTTGTGGTATGGTAACTGAGACTCTCCCTTACCCTCGGTGTCCTCCAAGTCTAGATTCCACAGCACATGGACTCTCTATTTTCTTAGTTAGACAAGTGGTCAGTGATGTCCAAGCATGGTGTCCTCTGGCTGATCCTATGTGTTCATCTAGCTTCAGTTCTCAGAGTGCTTGTGGGGACCCTTTGGTGGGGAGGGTATCCCTGAGCTCTGAATTTTAAAACATAATACAGTAATTTGCCTTTCAACATGTTGATATTTCCAATCCATTGGAAAGCAGTGGTAGGTAAAGCACTGACCTCTCTGCATGAAGGAAATTGCAACCATAGTCATGGTCTTCTCCACTATACACACGGTAGTTTTTAAAATGCCACTTTCACTTACGAGCTTTACTAAATCTCAACCCTTGAGGTTGCAATTATTAGTGTTGTGTAGAAGCAGGAGATAGACCCAGAACACTGCATAACAGAGGACAGTGCTTATCTCAAAGAATGCCACTCCTAAAGGTCTCCAGATAAGAACTGGCTGCTTGTCTCAGGCCTTGCTGTTTTGCCTGAACCAGTGACCACCAGACCACAGATCTGTGGTGATGTTAATGAATGTAGGTCGGTATCTACAACAACAGGTTGTAGACTAAAAAGATACCAACTCAAGATCTGCCTTGCTCAGCAAACCAGGGCTTTTCCAAATGACCAATGCCTGATGTCACAGAATCATGTGTGTCAAAAAATGATCCAGTGGCTGGAGATGCAGCTCAGTGGTAGAGCTTTTGACTAGCACACAGTGAGGTCCTTGGTTCAATCCATAGCCCTGGGAAAAATCCATAACAGAGTAGACTATGTGATTGTAATATAGTTGATGATAAAAACAACTGTTAGGGTATCAGGTCCCATAACCAGCCTTCAGAAATGATCACTTTTCAAGTGTTGGTACAGTATTGGAAAACAATATCAAAAAAAAAAAAAAAAGGCTTCTGAACTCCCATTGGAGCGTCAGGCAGGCTCAGACAGTTCTTCTGTACCTTGGAGAAGTTAGCTAAAGGTTCAGAACCCCAAATATATGCAGGGACTATTAAAATTTTCTCTCTTTTTTTCCAGCTGCATCATGTATGAGGCCATATTTTCTTCATATTCTTCAATGTAGCATCAGAAGCAGATGTAGGGGGGGCCGCCGTCCCTTCCGGGGCGCGGGCGGCCGCGGCGTCTCGGGCGGCTTCCCACCCCGCCCCCCGCAGCTCAGGGTGACGCGTCTCCAATAACAGCTCGCGGGGAGCCGCAGCCCGGGCACAGCGGCGCCGGCGCCCCTTCGCGCGCGCCCGCCCTCCCGCCCGCTGCCACCATGAGGGCCGAGGGCCACGGCGGCCTGGAGCGGTTCTGCAGCCCGGGTAAGGGCAGGGGGCTGCGGGCCCTGCAGCCCTTCCAGGTGGAGGACTTGCTCTTCTCCTGCCCGGCTTACGCCTTGGTGCTCACGGTCAATGAGCCGGGCAACCACTGCGAGTACTGCTTCGCCAGGAAAGAAGGATTGTCGAAATGTGGAAGATGCAAGCAGGCATTTTACTGCAATGTGGAGTGTCAGAAAGAAGATTGGCCCATGCACAAGCTGGAGTGTTCTCCCATGGTTGTTTTTGGGGAAAACTGGAGTCCTTCAGAGACTGTGAGGCTAACAGCGAGGATTCTGGCCAAACAGAAAATCCACCCAGAGAGAACACCTTCAGAGAAACTGTTAGCTGTGAAGGAGTTTGAATCACATCTGGATAAGCTAGACAATGAGAAGAAGGATTTGATTCAGAGTGACATTGCTGCTCTCCATCAGTTCTACTCCAAGCACCTCGAGTTCCCTGACCACAGCAGCCTCGTAGTACTCTTTGCACAGGTTAACTGTAATGGCTTCACAATTGAAGATGAAGAGCTTTCTCATTTGGGATCTGCGATATTTCCTGATGTTGCGTTGATGAATCATAGCTGTTGCCCCAATGTCATTGTGACCTACAAGGGGACCCTGGCGGAAGTAAGAGCTGTACAGGAAATCAGTCCTGGAGAAGAGGTATTTACCAGCTATATCGACCTCCTGTACCCAACAGAAGACAGAAATGATCGGCTGAGAGATTCTTACTTTTTTACCTGTGAGTGCCAGGAGTGCACCACAAAAGACAAGGATACAGCCAAGGTGGAAATCCGCAAGCTCAGCGACCCCCCAAAAGCAGAAGCCATCCGTGACATGGTCAGATATGCGCGCAACGTCATTGAGGAATTCCGGAGGGCCAAGCACTACAAATCCCCTAGTGAGCTGCTGGAGATCTGCGAGCTCAGCCAGGAGAAGATGAGCTCGGTGTTTGAGGATAGTAATGTATATATGTTGCACATGATGTACCAGGCCATGGGGGTCTGCTTGTACATGCAGGACTGGGAAGGAGCCCTGAGATACGGTCAGAAGATCATTAAGCCCTACAGTAAGCACTATCCCTTGTACTCCCTCAACGTGGCCTCCATGTGGTTGAAGCTGGGAAGACTATACATGGGCCTGGAAAACAAAGCTGCCGGAGAGAAAGCCCTGAAGAAGGCCATTGCAATCATGGAAGTAGCTCATGGCAAAGATCATCCATATATTTCTGAGATAAAACAAGAAATTGAAAGCCACTGAAATTGCATCATTTCAGTTTTCATTCAGAAACCTTAAAGGATTTGAATATTTCAGATCTTATGCACCACTCCAGCATTTCTATAAACTAATTGGAATGAGAACACTTCTTGCACTTCAACCTTGCACATGCCATACTTTGAGGGTGTTCTTGATAGTTCACCATAATATTAATTTTGAATGCTTTCTTTTTTCTAAGAGGTAATGGCATGGTTTCATATAATATATACTGTGGACACACCGAGTTTTTAAAAATGCATTTATTTTTGCCTTCATGCCTATTGTAACATCCTGAACAAATTTGACTGATGTTAAGAGAATAAAGATAGAGTACTCGAAAAAAAAAAAAAAAAGAAGCAGATGTAGGAATCATCTGACTTCTGTTAAACTAGGATTCTGAGAATTATAGGAATATAAAACAAAACCACTCTTTTAAACATCATTAGCACATGTGGGTTTATTCTTTTTATCTTAAGTGAATTGATAAATATTCTTGAAATTTTCAGTTTTAATTTCTAATACCATAAAGATTGATAGATTTGACCCACATAAACAAAAAGTCTTTGCAGTTCTCAATAAGTTTTAAGCCTGTAAAAGGGCCTGAATCCATAATGTTTGAGAACAACTGCTCTGTGATATGGAATTTCATATTCCTTTAAGACTTTGCAAACATATTTTTAATAAAGAGCTGTCAAATCCATATACCTACATATGTACGTATCATACCATTATACACACAGAGAGGAATAGATGGGCAGATGATTGACTGGTTAATAGATGCTCTTTTGTGTAGGGTGATTCTGCCATCCTGACATCACCAGGAATAATATTTCTCTTTCCACAGCTTCCAAGCAGTGAAAGATTACATCCAGGCCTACTTATCCCTGTTAGAGAAGAAGGAGTTCATCACTGAAGATAAGACTGAACTCTACATGCTCTTCATCAACTGCCTAGAAGTAAGCTGGCTACCTCTTTGTTGCTTTTCTTTTTTTCTTTTATATTCTTTTTTTATTGGTTGTTCAAAACATTACAAAGCTCTTGACATATCACAGTTCATACATTTGATTCAAGTGGGTTATGAACTCCCATTTTTACCCCAAATACAGAATGCAGAATCACATCGGTTACACATCCACATTTTTTCATAATGCTTCTGCAAACCATCTGAACCGTATTATGGTTTAGGCAGTGGCAGAGTTTCCGAAAACTGACAGAATGCAGCTTTATTCAGTACAATTAACAGATGCTTCTTTTCCATGTGGAAAAAGAAAGATGTTTCAAAGACATTGCTCTGCTCTTAGATGTCACACACACAGTCAGGAGCCACTTGGTGATGTTTCCTTCACTGCATGTGTGATGGTGGTCTCGTGAGATCCTTACCTAGTATCTGAAGCTGTCTGATGTTTGCACAACAGTGAAAGTCCCTAAGGATGCATTCTTGCAGGTGTCCCTGTTGTTAAGCAGTGTGTGACCATATTGACAGTCATGTGCGTGCAGGTGCAAAGCGAAGACATCACAGCCTGGAGGAATACACCTCAGGGTTAGCAATGGTCATCCCCAGCTGGCGAGATCATGAATACTTTTTATTTTTATTGTCTTCATATTTTATAATGCATTTTAGATTATGAACAGTTTTCCTTATAGGTTTGCTTTTTCCAGTTGTTTTCTATGATTCAGAAAATTTATACTTAGATCTACAATAATGGTCTTTATTTTCCCTTGAATTCTCACTGGCAATTTTAGAAGGTTGGGGAGTTGCCTCTTACAAAGTATAATATTCTTTTCTTTCTTGTTCTTTGCTCCTTATGATTCAATTCATGAGAAGACCAGTGCTTACTGGTCTTCTCATGAATTGAGTGAACTCGACTGCCTGAGGGAGGAAGGCCATTTCCTACAGACCTGCTCCTCAGGGAGACAAGGCCAAGGACCTACCATTTTGGCGTCTGTCGAGTACCTGCAGGAGGTGGCCAGGACCCGCCTGTGTCTCAACAGGGCTTCTGACCTCCTCTTGGAGCTTCAGGAAGGATCAGGCAGGTCTTGTCTACCTTGGAGAAGTTAGCTACAGGTTCAGAAGGACAGGAACTGTCCTTAGGTTCTTGCTGGCCCTTACCATGGTCCCGTCTTCTGGATGTTTTTTACTGAGTTCCCCAGAAGCAGGCCCTCAGTTTCCAGTTGCCAACCAGCTTTCTCCTTGCACTCTCAGAGCTGGCTGAGGAACAGCAGTGCTACCTGCGGCACGTCCAGCAGTTCTGCACCCAGGCAGGGAACGACTGGCACCGCGTGTACCTGGTCCGGAGGCTTGCGAGCCTGCGTGGGATGAAATTTGTGCAAAACCTCTCCAGGGAGGGCCATAGGTGCCAGTGGGTGTTTCCCAAGGAAGTCATTGCACAGCAGGTGAGATTCAGGTCCCTGGCAGAGTGAGCAAGCTATGGGCACCACTCCTCACCCTCCCAGCCCTCATGACAGGCAGGACGTAGGCATGCATCTATCTGATCCTTGGTCTCTGCTTCTGTGTGGGTTTAGGCCACCTGCTGTGGGGAAAAAGGTAGGCATGGACACATGTGTGTGTGCACACTGATTTGTCTTTCACCTGCATTTTATCTAGGCTTCACTTCTAATTGACTTAGACACAGGGAAAGTGAATGTGATTATTTCTTTTAATATTTGCTTCCAGCAAATTAAAAGATGACTTGGCTTGCAGGCTGTGTCTTGTGCTCTCTGCCAGGCAGAGGTGGGTAAGAATTGAGAGACAAGTGTAATGAGTTTGGCTTTCAGGTTTCTCTGTTCCCAGTGCTCAAAAATTGGTAAAGTCTTACTGTCCTGGGGTTAAAAATGGCACTAAAGCTCCTGGCATCTTTAAGATGACCAACTGGGACTCAGAGATGACATGTTTTGGTCACCTTGCTTCATGTGGTGCCGTGTATAGAGAAAGCAAGCAGCTCCAGGGTCAGCCTCCCTCTCCCTGGGCTCTCCGTCCTTGTGGAGGCCATGCTTCTGAAGACCCCTCAGGACTGTCATGCCTGGGCCCTACAGGGAGTCTCAGCTGAGCTACCTCCATCCTCCAACAGTGTCTGCTGTCTTTCTTCACCTATGGAGAAGGGCCTTGCAGAATGCCCCACCCCACCCCACCATGACTAACTCTCTTCTCCTGGGCTGCAGAAGGACCACACGGGCCAGATGGACCAATACCTGGTGCATGGGGACGAATACAAGGCACTTCGTGATGCAGTGGGCAAAGCCATGCTCGAGTGCAAGGCCCCCAGCCTCGAGGCTGCTCTGATGGTAGGATGGGCTCGCAGCTTCTCCCTGAGACAGGTGGCACCCCTCACACTTGCATCTTCCCTGGTTATGTCAAAAGATGCAGATGTGCTGGAGAGGGCATCTGAACAGCCCCTAGAGTGATACTAAGTACTGGGAGACAGATGCCCCTGGCCTCCAAAGGGAGTGAAAGATATCAATCAGCACAGTTAGTAAAATCCATAGCTACATAGATTCACAATCCATGTATATGCTTATCTGTTGATGCAGAGTTTTAGGATTCTAATATGTTTTGTAAATATTTTTAGCTGCAGATAAACACAATACTTTTATTTTATTTATTTACTTTTTATGCAGTCCTGAGGATCGAACCCAGTGCCTCATGCATACTAGGCAAGCACTCTACCACTGAGCTACAACCCCAGCTCCAGGATTCTAATCTTTAAATTGTTCTGGTCTTGCTTCCTTTTATAGTCCCTGTTTATCCTGGCCTTATGCTAGGAAGAGAAAATAGAAAACCCTGTCTCAGGAAACATTTCCAAGACCAGTGAAGTAGTTGGAGGAGAACAGGTGCTGACTTCTGTTCCTCCATCATGGCTGCCAGACCCCTGTGCACTGAGGTTAACCCGAGCCTGTCTCATGAACTCATAGCCCCAGTCATGTCCGTGGAGGCCCATGGTGCATGGCCCCAGGGAGGGTTGCTCCAGGTAGTGGTGTGTAGATTTTGAGGGTTCGCTCCACACCCCGCCCGCAGGCCTGCAGGAGCCCTGGAGCTCAACAGGCCGTCTACCTGCTGCTGGCGCTGTTCCGAGAAGTGGCTGCTCTCCACTGCTCCCACAACTCGAACCTCCACCCTAAGCCACAGGTAAGTGACACATTGAGGCTTATGTTCAGTCTCATGATTGGGAGGGACTTTCTGAGCACAGTAGAAGTCACAAACTTTTATTTCCTATCAGGATAATAGGAATTATGACCTTCCATAATTTCCTATCTAGGATAGAGGGTGTACCCTTGTTATGTGGAAGAAATATTCACTGTTTAACCCAAACTTACAGTCTCAGGAATATTACCTAATGTTTACCAAAACAGAGTGTTGAGATCTGCACTCAGGAATGTGGTTGCTGTATTTCTATATGAAAATTCTCTTTCCTGATGAATTTCTCCTCCATTAATGATCATTGAACTATATTTACCTTAATATTTGATTGCACTCAGTATTGAAATGTGTGACTTTCAAAGAGAAAACCCTAAGTTCACACAGTATTCTTCTTTGACATAGCCTAACATGAAAAACGTCTTTCGTGCCAGCAATGTGAGGCTGTGAGCAGGTTCACTGAGGACAGCAGGATCCTGTCTCCTCCGGGGGTCAGGCCTTTCGCAGCATCCCTCGTGGCCAACACTCTGCCCTTGCTGAGCGCGGGCCCTGGTGCTGACAGCCTTGAAGGAACAGTGACAGAAATGGCCATTCACACTGCGGCTGTCCTTCTGTGTGGACAGAACAAAGTCTTGGTGCCCCTGAGGAACTTGGCCTTCTCCCCAGCCAGCATGGTGGTAAGCTGCATGATGATGACTTTGGTTTCACAGTGAAACTTCAGTGGTTTTTCAGCCTGTGGATGTGGGAACTCTCTAACTTGTCCACCTTCTAGATTCTCTGCCCTGTTGCCCCACTTGATCCTTCAGCACAGTCCTGGTAAAAACATGCCCTACCCTTTGCCGTTTCACACAGAGCTGTTGTTCATCCTCTGTAAACAGCTCTTGAGCTGAGAAGAAACTTTCTCACTCTGTGCCTCTTGCTGGGTTGCAGCTACAGCCCACAGGCCCTTTCAGCAGGGCCACTTCTGCTCTTGGTCTTTCAGAATGCTTTTCTTCCAACAATACCTGAAGACCTGCTGGCTCAAGCCCAGAAGTGGGAGGGTCTGGAAGGCGTCCAATGGTATAGTGAGTATTGGTTAAGGGGAGGGGTCTCACTCCTCTTAGCTTGGAGTGATGCCATGCCAGACCTAGGGTTGGACCATGCCAGGCCTAGGGTTGGACCTGGGTTTCACAGGGTTCTGCTGAAGGCCCATGTCACCTGCCTCTCCTGGTGGCTCGAGGGCCATAGACTTGGCTGGCTAGATGACCAAATCGTTTCCCTGCATAGTCATGGGAAAGACCCTTTGGGATGCACTGTTGCTCTGCAGAACATGCCATTTGGAATAAGGGGGACCTAGGGACCTCACTGAGGCTCATTCAAAGGCTAGTCACAATCCAGGGGTTTTTGACCCAAAGAGAGCTTCCTGTAGTCTGGACCTGGGAGACAGCCATATAACCCCTGACTTTATGTGAGTTATGCTATTACTTTGAGTAAATAACCTTATAAAACTAAATTTTTAAGTTGTTCTAAATCATGCTCTTGCCAAAAAAGGAAAAATCCAAGAGAATAGAAAGATATAAAACACTATCCCCGCTGCCACCAAGTTACCCCTGGTACACACTAGTTGCTGGGTTGCAACTGGGATGCCAAGGTGCTGCTGGATGGGAGCCCCACCTCCCTCCCTGGCCTTGCAGCAGGTCTCAACCACACAGACCCTCAGCTGGTTCACCAGTCAGAGAGGAATGTGGGCTAGTTACCCCTGGAATCTAATCTCTCTCTGCTGTGTAAAGCCAAATTCAGACACTTTTCACTGGTGGCATGTGTTCACTGAGCTCCAGAACATGTCAAGAAAACTTAGCTGATGGCATGGCTCAAGGCTTCTTGTGAGGTGCTAAGGACGGGGGCTGTGTGTCCTGTTGGTCAGGGCCAGAGAGGAGGGCAGCAACTTCCCCTTCCCACATAGAAGAGACTCACTAGCTAACAGCTTGTCCCAATGGTCATCCGTGTACTGTAGGAGAGGTGAGTCTTGGTGTTTGGGGGAGGCTCTAAATGTGCATTCCCTTCTGGGGTGGGAGGGAGGGCGTAGGGAATGAGGGAGACATAGGTGCATTCTGAGGGCTGCTCAGCGTGTTCCAACTGAGTGTCTAAATGGCACTGTGAACATGATTCTTTTCTGCAGATCTGTCTGTGCATTGTAGGATATTTAGCAGCATGCCTGGCCTCAGCTCACTGGGTATAGCAGCACCCCCTAGCCCAGTGTGATGCCCAAGAATGTCTGCAGGCACTGCCCAAGTCTCCTGGGATGCCATGGTGCTGCTGGCTGGGAGCCCCACCCCCCTCCCTGGCCCTGCAACAGGTCTCAACCACACAGACCCTCAGCTGGTTCACTAGTCAGAGAGGAATGTGGGCTAGATACCAGAGGACATGAGTGAACAGGAAAGACTTATGGGTGATGAGCCCTGGGAGACAAGCACATGCTGCTCATCTGGGACTCCAGGGCATCTCCCTGGCTGCTCATGGCATCTGCACTTGCTAAGCAACAGGCTGCTGGATTGGACTTATGTGTGCTGCTCCCTAAAGTGAACAGGAGACAAGGATGCAACCCTGATGTGACTTCACCTTCCTGACTCCCACTTGCTTCCTTGTCCGAGGAGTGAAATAAGAAGAGATTCCAGGGCCCCTCTTATCACTGAGTTCTGTGGTCTGAGCGCTGCAGCTGGAGGGGCCTGCTGTGGCTGTGATTCATAGCATGCAGTGGGGTGCCATTTAACTTGGAAACCTAGGACCGTTAGTGGTGGCAAATCTTATGGTTGGGTTTTTGTTGTTGTTGTTGTTGTTTTTGTCCAGTGGATGTGAGGAGGTCTGCTTAGAAGTTATTAACACGATCATTCCTGGTGTTAGATAATGATACTCTAGAGGCTGGCATGCTAGACACAGGGATGGAGAAGGTGGTGAATGGAAGAAAGGAAGATGGGGTTATACACACTAGTCACTCTACTTGGGAGTAAAAAACTTTATTTTTGGAAAATGAAGCCATATTTGCCCATGGACAGTATATGTGGTTAAGTGCCCACCCTCTCCCCAGGACTCCTGCTCCACCCTAACACACACATGCACCAGATGCAGACTGTGGCACACACCACCTCCTATGCAGGGTGGCTTCTGCACATGTACCATGTGTGTACTGACTGTGTGTCCCCTCTATGTCCCAGTGTGGCAGGCCGATGGAGCAGAGCTCCTGTGTTGAGTGCGGTGCTGTAATTGGAGGTGTCGACCACAGACCTCACACAGGCTTCGAAACCATCAAGTATGTGGGCTCGGCTCCCCTCCCTTGGAGCCTGGGGCTCTGCACTGTCCATTCCAGCAGATGAATCATACCAAGTATAGGATCACTAACACCACTACTCTATATCTGGACCTGCGTCATGTTGGGGATTCACATCAAGCACACCTGTAGTCATGTGGCACTGAAGCTTGTTTTTTTTTTTTTCTTCTTTATTTTGTTTTTGTAGTGCTGGGGATGGAACCTGGGGCTTCACATATCCTAGGCAAGTGCTCTTCCATGGAGCTGCACCCTGAGCCCTGTTTTTTTTTTTTTTTTAATTTGAGAAAAGTGGAAGATACATGCAATCAGTCTTGTGAAGTACATCCATCCCTCCATATCTGTGGGGACTGTTTCCAGGACACTGTCCTCCATAGATATTCAGATCCAGATGTTCAGTTTCTCTATGTGTCATGGCACTGTACTTGTTTGTGACCTACAAATATCATCCCAAAGAGTTTGTTTGTTTGTTTGTTTGTTTATTTATTTATTTGATACTAGGAATTGAGTCTAGGGGTCTTAACCAGTGAGCCACATCCCCAGCCCATTTTTTATATTTCATTTAGAGACAGGGTCTTGCTAAGTTGCTGAGGCTGGATTTGAAATTGAGATCCTTCTGCCTCAGCCTTCCAAGGCACTGGGATTACAGTTGTGTACCCCTGCACCTGGCCTCCCATGGACTTTTTAAAAATTATCTCTAGGTTTCTTATTATATCTCATGCAAAGTGACTGCTATATAAATACTCATCTATCATATTTTTTAGGAAATAGTGACAAGAAGAAAAGCTGCTATTCAATATAGATTCAGTGTTTTTCTGAATATTTTTGAATATCCTGAATATTCATAGTTGTTGAATCCACAGGTGCAGAACTGCAGATACAGAAGGCCCACTGTAACAGAGTCAGATAAAAATCCAACCTCCAGCTAGGCACAGTACATGCCTATAATTCCAGCTACTTGAGAGGCAGGAGGATGGAAAGTTTGAAGCCAGCCTGGGAAACTTTGTGAGACCCTGTCTCAAAAATAGAAAGGGCTGGGGGTGTAGCTCAGAGGTAGGGTGCTTTCTTAGCACATGTGAGGTCCAACGCTCAATTCCCAGCACAGAAAAAAATAAGTAAAACTAAAAATCTGATCTCACAGTCCCATGCTTGATCCTGAGATTAGTGTGGCTGTCAGTGCTCCCTTAAGATGACATAAGGGACCTTGTATCTCTGTATTTATCTGGCTCTTCTGTTACAAAGCTTAAAATAGTCTAGCCTGTTATCTCCATAAACTATCAATGTCCTTGAATCTTGAAAACTTTTGTCAAATTGTGTATCCCAGGTTTTGATTTGGAAAAAATTGAGAATAATGTGGACAATCTCCATGTGGATGTAAAAATGCCCCAAACTCACAGTCCTGAGGCAGGCATTGACCCCCATCCTAACACCCTGCACTAATGGCCATATTAGTGATCTGTAACAATCAGATCATAAAGTCTACTTGGAGTGTACAGCTGTCCTCAATCCACTGCAGCCACTTAACATTGGGAATGTTGCAGGGTCTGGCCAGCCAGCAGGGTGGGTCTAAAAAGAGAAGCACTTGAAGGCATGTGGCCTAGTTCTTTTAGTGTTTTCTTCAAAACTAAAAACCTAGCTGGGTGTGTTGGTGCACACCTCTAATCTCAATGGCTCAGGAGGCTGAGGCAGGAGGATCACAAGTTCAGAGCCAGCCTCAGCAACTTAAACTGTCTCAAAATAAAAAATAAGAAAGTAGAGGGTGGGAATGTGGCTCACTGGTTAAGCCCCTGGGTTAAATCCTCCATGCCAAAAACAAAAACAAAACAAAACTAGGAACCTAGTTGTTAAGATGTGAGGCCCCTGGAGCTGAGGAGAAATAGACATCTCTAGTCTTCACCCTGTTTCCTCTCATCCTTTTCAGAGACAGCACAGACAGAACCAAGACTGGCCATGTGCTGGGCCACCCACAACCCAGAGATGTCATAGTGGTGTCTGACCGAGAGCTGTCCCCGGTCGTCTTCATTCTCATGTGCCTACTCACTCATCTAGCTATGCTTTTGGAAGCCACCCAAAATCCTGAGGTATAAGACATTACCGCTAGACTCTCTTATGTTACCATAGGAAGAACCTGCTGTGTTTGCATCAAGTCCTTTTGTCTACAAAGTCCTAGCCACCTAGGGATTTTACCTAGTCCACAGGGTAAGGCAAAAGTTATAGATCCTACTTTTCCCTCTGGGGCATATGATGCAATGGGGGAACTACTCCTCAGATTATGGAACATCTTCTTCATTTTTTTAATTTTTAAAATCTGTTTTAACGGACACAAAACAATTACACATGTTTGTTACAGTGTGACATCTTAGCATGTGTATACAAGATGCAATAATCAGATTGTAAAGTCTACTCAGAGTATACAACTCTGCCCTTGCCCACACCTAGGCATGGGGAGGTGGTGGGACCCTGTCACCTACACCCTTGTGGTGGCTGCAGGAGGTGCAGGGAAGCATTCTCTTCTGCACAGGATGACATCAGAGCCAGCAATCTCTGGCTCTACTCACCTGCCTCCCTTCCTCTGCTGCCTGCGTCATGCTGAGAGCATTCAGACCTCACCTAGAAACCACCCTCTCCCCAGTGCTGGTGCTTCACTCCTTTGGCTTCTCACTGTGTCCTCTACACATTGATCTCACTACAAGTCTTATCTTGTTTCCCTCACAGACTGTGATAAACATCATCAAGCCTCCAGTGAGTGACCCTAAAGGATTCCTGCAGCAGCACATCCAGAGAGACTTGGAGCAGTTGACAAAGACACTGGGGAAGAGTGCCGACGAGACCACCCATGTGGTCCACCTCATGCTGCGCTGGCTTCTCAAAGAGCAGCACCCACTCCCTGACCAGAGCAAGCAAGGGACTTGGGCTGGGCATTACTGCCAAGAGGCCAGGCTCCCTCAGCTCCTGGTCAATGGTGTGACAGAAGTGGGAGCGAGTGCTCTGCTCTCCTTGTGGGGGTTGGAGGGGCTGCTGCGCTCCTCCACACACCACCCTCCTGGCTGGGCCCTGCAGCACTGATACCTGGTGCTTGTGCATGCACCATTAACCTGTGTCCTGGGAGCACATGGCACCCCAGCAGGTGACATGTCCCACTTCTGCTTTCCAGAGATGTCACACTTGTACCCTGACCTAATGTGTGCATGTTCACGTTACATGAACAAAGGAAGCTACAAAACACTGTCTGCTGAGCTAACTCTTCTACTGTAAACATTTAAATCCAGGCCAAAAGCAAAGGTCTGTAAGGAGACTCTGTAAGTGGTTATCTGAGTGGCATTAGGAGGGATTTCAGTTTCTTCTTGCTTACCTGAAAAAATCTTTTAAAATGGCCACTGCAGAACAGTGATATTTAAAAGCATACAGATCATAACAATAGCAATAAAAAGTCTGTTCCCACAACCAGAGAATCTGTCCTCCTTCAGGTGTGTCTTTGCCAGAAACCAGCATTAGCATGTCCTTCCCATCTTAGCCAGATCCGATTTTCTTCTGCCAAGTGCCTCTTGTTCTGGTGTGGCTTCCACAGCCATGGACTCAGGAGTCCTAACCTGGTGCCAGTTCCCTGGGACCTCCTCTGCCTAAAGGCCTCGGGGCAGCAGTGAGGTGGCTCTGATTAGCTGTCAGCATCACTGTGCCCCTGGGCTTTTGAGTTCACATCCTGTCCTTAGTCATTTGTCTGGAATGTTTTTAAGACCAGAGCTGTGGGCCAGAGAGTTGTCAGAGACTACACTATATTATAAGGTCCAGAGGCTGGTGTTGGTAATACCTGGTTAACTGAGGAAGTTATCACACCAAAAGGAGGACTATCTCTATTAATATTATTCAGTGTTTACTGTATGGAAACCAGCCTTTTTTGTTTGTTGGGTAACACAGTTTGGTTTTCTTTGCAGGGCATTTAAATTTTGATGAAGAATCGTCAACCAAAGAACAGAGAAACAATTGGGAAAAACACATCAAAGCTCTTCTTCTCCCTGAACTGGAGGTAAGTGGCTCCCTAGCCCTCTCTCCATTAATCTGTGGAGGACTGTTGGCCCACTGTCCTGAGGCGGGCCATCAGAGGCCTCACCTGGAGAAACCTCTCCTTCTGCTATCCCCAGGTACCCCTACTGCAATGGCCATAAATCAGGCCAACAATTATCAGTTCTCACAGGGCAGGCAGTAGCTTGCTCTCCACTGCTGTTTACAGCAGAATGTGAAAGTAAGAGACCCTCCAGAAATGCATCGACAGTCTGGATTCATGACTGCTCTGCTGAGAACATCACAGAGCTGACTATCCACAGCAGGTCAAGGAAGTCAAGAAGCAAAAGGGTGGTGAAATAAAGGCCCCGAGTCTCACTCTGGGGAGGCAAGAACACTATGAACAAGGAACCCCCCAATAACAGTGAAATACAGCAAATGCAAGCATCCGGGTTGCAGGCAGATTCCTAAGGAACCACTGTGGGTCCATGAGCTGCCTGGTTGTCTGTGACAATGTGTCACTTACAGAATGCTGTATCGTTTCTTTATCCAGCATCTAGATAAGGCCCTGCTGACTGTGAGCATGCTTATTAGCCAGGATGAGCGCATCAGCTCCAACCCCGTGGCCAAAATCATATATGGTGACCCAGCAAGCTTCTTGCCCCAACTGCACCAGAAAAGTGTGGTTCATTGCTCAAAGATTTGGAGCTGCAGGAAGAAGATCACAGTCGAATACCTTCAGCACGTTGTGGAGCAGAAGAACGGCAAGGAGGTGGTACCCGTGCTCTGGCAGTTCCTGCAGAAGGTGTGTCTGCTTCATGGGCTGCCCCCTTTTCCTGGTAGACTTCCCCTGAGGACTGGGAGGCCCCATGCTTGGGTTCAAAGTCATCATTCCTAGGGGCAGAACCCTAACCAATCCCATCAGCACTGTGATTCTGAATGCAAGGCCTGTAGCATGAGTCTCAGGGAGAGTGCAGAGGTCTTAAGACACATCTGCTGAAGTCACAGGTGAAATATGCACATGAGTGCGGTTAGTGGTGATCTGTTTCGAACTTGAAGGCCAGGAGGGACCACCATGAGCACTCAGTTGTGATGCCTTGTCTTCATCCCCAGAAGCTGAGCAGGTGGTCACCAGCAAGTCCCTGCTGAACAGTCAAGAATGCACACGAAAACCACACCAGAGCCCTCCCTGTGCCCTGCAGGCAGGAGGCAGTGTGCTGCATGGTGGGGCTGCAGGATGTGGAGTCACACCTGCCAGGCCCAGAAACCATCCCCAGCTTTCACCCACTTGAGCTCTCCTGGGCCACAGCAGAGGTTCTCGCCAGCTCCCTCATGGACCAGTACCACAGCTGGCAGAGAGCAGAATGATTGGGGAATGTCTGGTGCTCACACTAGGAAGGACTTCATGTTAGTGTTGTGATCTCTTATCAAGATATGGTTTCATTTGACCGAGGATGCTGGATCCTGGCCCTTCAGAACAAAACCCAAAATCACATCAGCTACCACTGCAGTAGGCCTTGGTGTTTTCTTTCAGCAGCCTCACACGCAACAGTGGACCCAAGAGTCAATTTTTTAAAAATTTTTTCCAAATTATTTATTTTTATTAATTCATTAGTTGTACACATTAATGAGAATAGGTGTGATATTTCCTTGTATGCATATAGCATGCACTGATCTTGTCTCTATGTGTGGATTGTTTCACTTAAAAGAATGTCATCTTGTTCTATCCATTTTGCTGAAAATGACTGGAGTTCATTTTTCTTACAGCTGAATCATGTTCTATTACATATATAAACCACATCTTCTTTATCCATTCATCTGCTGATAGCCTTCTAGGCTAATTCCACATTTTAGCTATTGGGAATGGTGCCACATAAACATGGGTGTGCAGTACCTCTTTGATACACTGATTTCCTTTAGAATGGGATAGTTGGATCATATGGTAGATATTTTTTTTTTCAGTTTGAGGGAACTCCAAACTGTTCTCCATTCTGAGGTACTAATTTACATTGTCACCAGAAGTATACTAGATTTCCTTTTCCTCTTCCTCTTTGTTAGCATTTGTTATTTTATGTTTGGGTTCATCTATTTTTGGGGTGGAGGACTAGTGGCAATTGAACCCAGGGCCTTCTTGGGCTTGCTAAGCAAGCAATGCTCTACTACTGAGCTACTGCCCCCATACCCAGCTCCCCCACTATATATATATTTTTTTTTAAGACAGAGTCTCACTAAATTGCCCAGATTAGCCGAGAACTTGTGACACTCCTGCCTTAGGCTCCTGAGTAGTTGGGATTACAGGTGTGTGCCACCATGCCTATCTTATTTTTTAAATAAGAGCCATTCTAACTGTGGTGGGATGGTATCTCATTGTAATTTTGATTTGCATTTCCTTAATGGCTACTGATATTGAGCATTTTTAATATATCTGTAAACCATTTGTATTTCTTCTTTTGAGAAGTGTCTATGCAGATCATTTACTCATTTTTAAATTGGATTACTTGGATTTTTTTATTATTAAATTTTTTAAGTTATATATTCTGGGTATTTACCTGCTCTTAGGTGAAGAATTGGCAGCTATTTCTTCCATTCTGTAGGTTGTCTCTTCACTCTGTTTTTTCTTTGCTGTGCAGAAACTATTTAGTTTGATATAATCCAATTTGTCATTTGCTCTTACTTCCTGTGGTTTTGGGGTCCTATCCAGAAACCCATTGCCTGTGCCAATGTCCCGAGTGTTTCCCCTCTTTTTCTGCTGGCAGCTGCAGAGTTACATCTGGGTCTTTGGTCATCTAGAGTTGATTCTTGTGCAAACTGAGATTCGGAACCCAGCTCAGTCCTTGAGGCAGCTTTTCATTGGAGGAGGGCGGGGACTTGATCCAGTTCATTCTACATCCCTCACCACTTGATGAAAGGATGGGATGACCTCTTTCCCATTTGCAAGCTTCAGGGTATAATCATGTAAAACAATCCACTGACCACATTAAACCACTAAATCCCTATCCTGCCCCCAAATCTATACACCCCATGTTGTTTCTCAGTTAAATAGAGGAAGTGTTACTGAGCCATCTTCCCTTCTCCAGGAGGCAGAACTGAGACTGGTGAAATTCCTGCCTGAGATTTTGGCCCTGCAAAGGGATCTAGTGAAACGATTCCAGAATGTTCCAAAAGATGAATACTGTTCCATCAAGAGTTTTATTAGCAGTCACAGTTCAGGTATGACTGCTGTCTGCTCCAACAAAAGATCAGGACCATCCATGTTTGGTGGTTCAAAAGGATCATTCAGGCTGGGACATGAGGGTGGGGATCAGGTCCTAAGGTAGAGAATGAGGCAAAGGATGCCAAATCCCAGAGATGGGCCATAAGCCACTGCTGTGGCTGGAAAGCCCACCCCCTCTCCAGCTTCTCATACAGCCTCAAACTTGAAGCTCAGGCATGCTGCTGAGTATGGGAAGGTGCAGGGTCAGGTTCTTGGGAGCACACCTTGTGGTCTGACCCTGGCCAGGGTAGTGGTAGGGGTTGTTTCCATGGGGTCTTACCAAGTGTTGTGTTCAACAGATGGGCTAAGGAAGCTATTCCGCAACAGGATCACCATCTTCCTGTCCACGTGGAATGCCCTGAGGCAATCACTGGAGACCAATGGTAAGTGTCCTCCTCCACGTGGCTCTGCCAGCACCCTGCTGTGTATGTGGCAATGCAACCTGTTGATGGAGGTGCTGGGATACATGAACCAACCTCCAAAGTAACCCTCAGTCATCCTGAATCTATAAATATAAAATCAGAAAGGAGTTGAGAGCACTGGAAACTTAATGGCCAGGGCCCAGCTCTATGGAGAAGGCTGCCCCTGGCTGCCCTCCTCCTCCCCTGCCTCCAGGCTGTGACCCAAATGCCTGAAGCAACATCCCTCTACCTAGGAATGACCCTGTCTTTTAAAGGTGAAATCAATTTACCTAAAGACTACTGCAACTCCTACTTGGATCTGGACACAGATTTTGAAGTCATCTTGCCCCGGCGTCAGGGCCTAGGTCTCTGCTCAACTGCATTAGTCAGCTACTTGATTAACCTTCACAATGAAATTATCTACACAGTGGAGAAGTTCTCCAAGGAAAACAGCAGGTACTGCGTAAACCCACCACCCTGCCACCAAGCCAGGCTGTAGACTCCAGCCAGCAACAGCTCCTATCCCCCAGACCCTCTCTCAGCCTTCCTCAACAAAGCCTCATATTTACACATGGTTTTCACTTGCTCACTCTATGAGGGCAGAAGCAGGAGCATACTCCCCAAAGCCCTAGGCCCCACACACCTGCTCTGGACACCAAAAATTGTATCTTGTGTCCCTCAGCTATTCCGTGGATGCCTCGGAGGTCACTGACCTGCATGTTGTCAGTTACGAAGTGGAGCAAGACCTGATTCCACTGATTATCTCCAACTGCCAGTATCAAGTGGAGCAAGGTGGGGAGACGTTGCAGGAGTTTGACCTGGAGAAGATCCAGCGGCAGATTAGCAGCCGCTTCCTCCAGGGCAAGCCCCGGCTGACCCTCAAGGTAGGCTGGGCCCTCTGCCAATGATCTGCTGTAGTTATGAACAGCCCTTGTGAGTTTCAGGGGGAACAGACTGAAGTGACACCCAGGGTCTCGTCTGTGTTATCGCCTCCCCACTGTGTTCTGTGTCCCTATGCCTTCTCTGGGCCGGGAGGTGTCCCCAGCTCTCTTCCGTATCACCATCACTATCTGCACCTGTCCCCCAGGGCAGCCTCATGTCTCAGTGGACTGGGTTTCCACTACAGTTAATGGCACCACCAAGAAGACCTCACTGCTGCCACCCCTTCAGTTGCATATGCAGTCCGTGCCCAGGAACCACCACGCAGAACTTCCCCATTCCCTCGTCCTCTAACTGCCATGGCCGAGGCTTCAGTTCAGAGCATTCAGCCGTCAGTCCAGCTGCCCAGTGCCAGCAGCACCACTTCACCTTAGTTCCCTGCCAGAATGCCCCACGCAGGGAGCATCAGTGCAGGCACCCCTGGAAAGGGGCAGTCAGGAACCCCCACCCCCAGCCAGTCCACAGCGTGTAGACAGTATTATAATGGCCTCCACCACACTCCCCCATCTGGCGCAGGGGCCCTGTCACCTGGCCCCAGCCCGACCTTCCAGGTGTCTCCAGCCCCTTCCTTCCTTGCTGCATCAAACCCTGTGACCTGCCTCCTGACTCCCTGAGCACAGTGGCTCTTGTCTCTTACCATGGCTGCACTCATCCTTCCATGTCCAGCCAGGTGTTATACTCAGATGTATCTATTCCCTCATTGCCTGCAATCAGCCTGTCAGTTGTTAGATCCCAAAGCCATTTTTTTAAAAAAAAAAAATTAAAAAATTTTTTATTTGCTTCAATTAGTTATACATGATAGTAGAATGCATTTATGAACTTTGATATATATAGATAAGATATAATTTCTCATTTTTCTGAATGTACTTATAGATGTACTGCATGAATGTACTGCATCACATTGGTCATGCAGTCATATCTATACATAAAATAATAATGCCTGTTTTGTTCTACTATCCTTCCTATTCCCATATCCCATCCTCTACCCTCCCTTCACTTCCCTCTACCTAATCTCAGATAACTCTGTTCTTCTCTAGTGCCCCACTTATTGTGAATTAGCATCCACATATTAGAGAAAACATTCAGCCTTTGGCTCATTTTGCTTAGCATGATATTCTCCAACTCAATCCATTTACTGGCAAATGCCATAATTTTATTCTTCTTTAAGCTGAGTAATATTCCATTGAAAATATATACCACATTTTCTTTATCCATTCATCTATTGAATGAATAAAGTTGATATCAGTTGGTTCCATAGTTTAGCTGTTGTGAATTGAGCTGCTGTAAACGCTAACGCAGCTGCATTACTGTAATTTGCTGATTTTAAGTCCTTTGGGTATAAACTGAGGAATGAGAGAGCTGGGTCAAATTCCAAGTCTTCTGAGGAATCTCCATACTGCTTTCTATAGTGATTATACCAATTTTCAGTCCCACCAGCAATGTATGAGTGTACCTTTTTCCCTACATCCTCACCAACATTTACTGTTGCCTGTATTCTTGATGACTGCCATTCTGACAGGAGTGAGATTAAAATCTTAGTGTGGTTTTGATTTGCATTTATCTAATTGACAGATACGTTGAACACTCTTTCATATATTTGTTGATCCATTGTATTTATTCTTCTGTGGATTGTCTGTTCAGTTCTGTAGCCCATTTATTGATTGGATTATTTGGTTTCATGGTGTTGAATATTTTGAGTTCTTTATATATCCTAGAGATTAATGCTTTATCAGAGATGCATGTGGTAAAGATTTTCTTCCAATCTGTAGGCTCTCTTCTTTCATTATTGTTTCTTTTTCTGAGAAGAAGCTTTTTAATTTGAATCCATCCCATGTTTTGATTCTTGATTTTACTTCTTGTGCTTTAGCGGTCTTGTTAAGGAAGTCAGATCCTAGGCCAACATGCTGAAGATTTGGGCCTATTTTTTTCTTCTGTTAGTCACAGGGTCTCTGTTATAGTGTCTAAGTGTTTGATCCACTTTGAGTTGATTTTTATGCAGGGTGAGAAATAGAGGTTTGATTTTATTTTGCTGCATATAAATTCCCAGTTTTGTCAGCACCATTTGTTGAATATGTTATCTTTTCTCCAGTGAATATTTTTGGCACCTCTGTCCATATTTATGTGATTGGTCGCTGTGTCTTTTATTCTGTACCATTGGTCTATATGTCTATTTTGGTACCAATACCATTCTGTTTTTGTTACTATAGTTCTATAGTATAGTTTAAGGGCTTGTATTGTGATGCCCCCTGCTTCACTTTTCTTGCTAAGGAATGCTTTGGCTATTCTAGGTCTCTTATTTTTCCAGATAAATTTCATAATTGCTTTTTGTATTTCTATGAAGAATGTCATTGGGTAGTATGGCATCTTGACAATATTAATTCTGTCTATCCATGAGTATGGGAGATATTTCCATCTTCTGAGGTTTTCTTCAATTTTTTTCTTTAGTGTTCTGTAGTTTTCATTATAGAGGTCTTTCACCTCTTTTGTTAGGTTGATTCCCAGGTATTTTATTTTATTTGAGGCTATTGTGAATGGGGTTGTTTTCCTAATTTCTTTTTCAGTGGATTCATTGTTGATGTATAAGAATGTGTTTGATTGATGGGTATTGATTTTATATCCTACTACTTTGCTGAGTTCATTTATTAGTTCTAGAAGTTTTCTGGTGGAATTTTCATCCTGACAGTGGCGGCCTTTTACACGGTCTCTGCTCAGTGTTGCTTGATAGATCACAAATGTGCACTGCACATTCCCATTCCTCATCATTCCTGATCTGCCAATGTTCTTCCTCTCTTGTGGTCCTCAGATACATTATTCCACAGGGCAATATCTGCAAAGCCACTGTAGCCAGGCTGGATTTCTTGTGTTACTGTGTCCAAAGAGTGAGGGTGGAACAGAGTCATCAGGAGACAACAAAGTTACATGCCTTGCCCAGGTGTATACTGTATGGCTTGGTACTTCCACTGAGTCACTGCTGAAGAATACATCTGTCATCAGATGTAAGTCTCCTCTATGGATTTAATGTCCAAAAACTTTTTTTCTTTCTCATCTTAGGGGATACCCACGCTGGTATACAGACATGACTGGAACTTCGAACATCTCTTTGTGGACATCAAGAACAAAATGGCACAGGTGATCATGATAAACTCTCACTTGCAGGATACATACATACATCAGGACAGTCCAGACCCATCCTGGTGTCTGCTGTGAGGACTAGGCTCTCTGGCTCCCTAAGTACCCAAGGGGCCCCCTAATAGCCAAGTGCTCTCTGGAGAGACAAGCAAGATGGCAGATCACCAAATTTTCTTGATTTACAGACTAACCCCTCAGGGGTTGTTTTCTTAATGAGATATCATGACCATGGTGCTACAGGTCAAGAACTCACTCACTCATTCCCCTTAGGTTCTGCTACTGACAGGTGGAGAGGCTCTTGTGCCTCTCCGTGTCCTCATGGGTCATGTATAGGATTCAGTTAGCTCAGATCCATTTCTGTGCAAAGTCTGAAATGCTGCCACACTCAGCATCAGCTCAAGCACAAGCATCAGCTCTTACCACAAGTGCTGGATAGCTGGTCCTGCTGGCAGCTCACAGTTAGGGTCTTACCAAGTAGGAGAAGCAATAGCCTGACCCAAGCCTCTGCTTTTGGTTTTAGAGCCCCCTTCCCCACTCAGCAATGAGTACCATCAGTGGAGAGCTTCAGTCCTACAGCAGTGCCTGTGAAGCCCTGTCTGTCATAGAGGTCACTCTGGGCTTTCTAGGCACAGCTGGTGGGGATCCAAATATGCACCTGAATGTGTATGTCCAAGAAATCCTGCGAATGGATGACCAAACAACTCCAGTTTTAAAGGTAGGTGTTGTGCACTTTTCAAGGAGAATCAGCATAACCTCATCTTAGTTTCCTGCCAGAATGCCACCATGCAGGAGCATGGTGCAGGCATCTGTGGAAAGGGGTGGTCAGGAACCCCCACCCCTAACCAGTCCACAGAATAGCAGCACACACTGGGGACAGGAGAAGCAAGGACACTCAGTGCTGACCACCTAGTAGAGCAGGATGCACAGGTGACTGAGGACATTGACTACCTCCTCACTGCATGATACTCACAGATATGAGCTGCTGCAGGAGGGGGAGTCTCTCAGATGTTTGCAAGATGAGGCAGGTAGACTTGAGGATGGAACAGAAGTGGCCTCATGACAGGAAATGGATGAAGCAGAGAGGAGTGCCCTGGGGTAGTACACAGAGTCATTGGGGTGTACCAAGGGAAGGTGTGAGCCTTCACCTCCTACTTGGGACTCTCTTTCTCTTCCAGGCCTTAAGCAGATGTCAGTTAAAGCATGTCATTGCCCTCTGGCAGTTCCTCTCTTCTTTTAAGTCAGAACAGCTACTGCGACTGAAGAAAGTGAGTCTGCCCTGCCTCTGCCCAGACTTAGGGAGCCGCACACTGATCCCAGGCTTTGATGTTGTACTTGATCATCTTTTTTAGGATCCCTTTCGGGAAATCAGTTCTAGGTACAAAGCAGATCTCAGCCCAGAAAGTGCTAAGCTCCTCAGCACCTTCTTGAATCACACAGACCTAGATGCTTTCCTCATGGAGCTACATGAGCTGATGGTGTTGAAACTAAGAAACATCCAGACCCAGGACAGCTTCAACCCTGAATGGAGGTACTGTGTGTACACTTGCTGGCAGGCAGGTTTGCAGAATGTTTGCTGTTTCCCATTGACTTGAAGGTAGTTCCATCTTATCACAGGACCCTCTGTCTTCTGTTCTCCATCATCAGACTTGCTTCTTTAGTTTTAATCTTTTGGAGACATTTTAAAACAACTACAAAATCCTATATTCTCATTATAACAAGTAGACCTAACTATGTCAAAGAGGTATGCATTTTAGATTAGGTAGAAAAAGCTACACCAATGTGTGAAATCTAAAATATCCATAATTATATGAATTTACATTTGTGTCAATCTAATGGCAAAAAAATAGTATCTTGTTTTCATTTGTGTTTCCCTACCTACTTGTGCAGCTGGGCACATTTTTAAGTCTATCACCATTTGTTTATCAGCCCTCAAATTATCTCTTGGTCGCTTTTGGTTATTGGGTGGGGAAGTTGATCTCTTTCTTTTCTTCTTTTGGTGCCAGGGATTTAACCCATGAGTACTTAACTACTGAGCTGCATCCCCAGCTCTTTTTATTTTTTATTTTGAGATAGATCTCACTATTGCTGAGGCTGGCCTCAACTATGCAATCCTCTTGCATCAGCCTCCTGAGTTGCTGGGATTACAGGCATATGCCACCACACCAAATCTGTTTATCTCTTTCTTGATGATTTGTAAAAAGCTCTTTGTATAGAACAGATTAATCTTTGATCAATATGTAACAAGTGCACTAGAAGTCAATTCTGATTTTTTTATAAAGCCTCTGTGGAGCCAGGTGCGGTTGTGCATGCCTGTAATCCCAGGAGCTCAGGATGCTGAATCAGGAGGATCATGAGTTCAAAGCCAGCCTCAACAACTTAGCAAGGCCCTAAGCAACTCAGCAAGGCCCTGTCTATAAAGAAAATATTTAAAAGGGCTAGGGATGTGGCTCAGTGGCTAAGCATCCTTGGTTTTAATCCCTAGTTACCACCACCCAAAAAAAGCCTCCATGGAGACATACACTAAAGGCCACCTTTATCACATCCCAGGGTACTAAACCATATTGTTTTCTCCTGCTGCTTTTATAGTTCTATGTTGTACATTTGTTTCATTAGTCAGTTCACTTTTATGTGTGATATGAGGCAGGCATTTCACTTGACTGGTTTTCTGGATGCACAGTCAGGCTACATTTGCTATTTCTGCCCTCAGGCCATATGGCACATGCCTGTACAGTAAAGTTCCCCTTTCTAGAGAATTTGCAGCCTTTGGTAAGATAAAGCATAAGAGGGAACACCTGGCTTTTCTGAATGCCAAAGCTTTGTTTCTGATGCAGCCAGCCAGACCTGTCAGTGGAGTGCCTGAAATGGCCTAGCTGAGCATCACTGAGGGAGCTCCACCCTCCAGAAGCCTTGAGCCTGGGACTCCAGGTCCAGCTCAGGAACTGGGCAGCTGGCTGACCTGAGGCTGACCTTCAGTATTTCTGGTCATAGCACCCCAACCCTGTAAAGAGTGAGAACTGATAGGCTCTTGATGCTCTAAACACTGTCTCTTGTGCCTGATTTTGCAGCCTGAGGGACACTCTGGTGAGTTACATGGAAACTAAAGAGAGCGAAGTTCTTCTGGAAGTGGAATCCCAGTTCCCAGAAGAGATACTGCTGGCCAGCTGCGTCTCTGTGTGGAAAGTGGCAGCTGCACGGAAACAGGACCGGCAAGCAAAATAGGATTCTCTACTCTGTCTCTGTGTGCTGCGGACACAGCTCCCCTCCCCTCCACTGTGCCTCTGGGGGCACCTGGAAGGAAAGAGTTGGCACAGCACTGAATTCAAGGCCAGCATACACTGTGCCAGCTGATGGCTTTTTTGAGAGCCAGGCTGTTTCTGGAACACATGAAGATCCAGAACTTTCACTTTATATTATGAATATCAAGTGGTGAGAATGGCAGTTAGTTGAAACTAGAAATCAACCACCATCCTATGCATTGAAGGAGCAACAGAAAGGAAGAGTCACAATAGGGGTCACACCCAGCAATGACCTGTGTTAGGCCTGCAGCCTGTTCCTCGTGCTTCCTCATGTTGCCATACAGAGGCCGAATGCAGGGGTTTTGGTGTCTTTTCTTCCCTATGATATTCTGCACACACAGAAGAGAATCTGATTTTCTTCTCTCTCCCAGTCCCTTAAATTCTGAATACTGTACTCATATTTCTTGAGTTCCAAGTTGTGAAAATAATACCACACTTTTTTTGTCTTCTCACTAACATGAGGAAAGCCAGGGGGTCCGCACATGAGACTCCACTGTAAGTCACTGCTAGATTCCAAAGGGTCAGAGCCAACAACTCTGGAGAGCATGAGACTTGGGACGCTGCTTGGGTTTTGGTTTCCCCATGAATAAAATGGAATTGACTGACAGCCAAAGTGCTTTCCAGTTCTCATATCTTGAGATTCTAAATGAAAGTTTGTCATTGTCAGCATGGATCAGAGGCAGGCTCTTAGAGATGGCATGGGGAGTTTTTGGCTTTGCACTGCATAAGCATGAAGTCTTGGTGTGATCTCAGCTTCCCTGAGTATGTGCATTCCTGGTCCTTTCTTTGGGTCTCAACCACACCAGAAAAACTAAGACTCAGAGTGAGTACAAAACCAGTTCCGTTTCTGGAATGGGAAAATAAACAAGGAGAGATCTGAATTACAGTGGATGGGGTAGAGAGAGAAGATGGGAGGGGAGGGAGGGGGGATGGTAGAGGATAGGAAAGGTAGCAGAATACAACAGTTACTAATAGGGCATTATGTAAAAATGTGGATGTGTAACTGATGTGATTCTGCAATCTGTATTTGGGGTAAAATTGGGAGTTCATAACCAACTTGAATCTAATGTATGAAATATGATATGTCAAGAGCTTTATAATGTTTTGAACAACTAATAAAAAAAATTAAAAAAAAATAAAATAAAATAAAATAAAAACCAGTTCCGTTTCTGAAAAAGGAAAAATTACTCTCCTCGATCTTGTGCTGCGTTTTTCATTAAGTTTTGTCTCTGTTTGAAACCCACTTTGATGTCCTGGACCACTGCATAAGTTCCTGTACCTCACAGCTCAGAGCCCGTTTGCAGTGAGATCCAGCCATCCACACTAGGAGGCCCTTACTTTCATGTATATTCCAGATAAGTTAGGGACCCAATCAACTTGAAATCAGGCCTGTGTACTTTTGAGCTACAGAAATGCAAAATGGGGAAGGAGGGCATAGCTCAGTAGTAGAGTGCTTGCCTCACATTCACAAGGTCAGAGGTTCAGTCCACAGCACCACAAAAAAAAAAGAAAGAAAGAAAGAAAAGAAAAGGTAGCCTGGCACAGGCCCTGTGCACACCTGCGAAGGTGGGTACAGAAGGAACTGACTCCATTTCCATGTATGAGTTCTCACAGCAGACAATGACTAAGTGCAGTGACAGATCTCAGGTAGTAGCTCCTTTCACAATACACACTTCCATTTAGAGAGCTGTGAGGAACATTCCAGACTATGCAAGCCACTTCCCTTTCCACCAGTTGCCTGCCACTTGCAAGCAGGAGGGCTCAGCCTACATGCCTGGGAGGTGGGGGGCAGTTTCCAGGGCCAGGTGGCACTCAGACCCACACCATTCTTCATTGCCACACCCTCACAAGTGGAATCAGGTGTCAAGTCCTTGATGTGAAGACCCTTATTCTCCCTTTGGCCTGAACATTTTTTTTTCTCACCGGTATGAATTGTTTTTAATTAAGATGTTTTATTTTGTATGCTATGCTTTCAAAGCCTTAACTGTCATATCTAGCACGATTTATGCAAAATTTCCCTGGGCTAGCACAGGTAAAACTAAGTTTCATTATAATTGTAATGCTGTTTTAATAAACTTGAGTTCTGCTGCTAAAGGATCCCTCTCTTTGGGAGCCATGCTACTGTGTATGGCATGTAGACCTCAGCTAGGCTGTGGGAGTGGTTTTGAGTCTTTGTGGAAATGTCCTTGCATAAGTATTCATGAAGTGGATGGTTTAGAAATGAAGAGCACACTCTAGAATGTGAGATGCTAAACTTCTACTGGACAGAATAACAGAAGAACAGCTTGTCCACAGTAGAAAAAGCTTAAGTCTGGCCTGGGGCAGGGGTGTCTTCAGTTTAAAGGGACATCACTGAAACAGGAGAGCTCCAGCTACCAAGGAGTAAGAATAAAAACTACCTAACTCAGTAAGTCAGGCTGTGGGATGGAGAAGACTTCCTGGTAACAGGAAATAAAGGCAGTGAAAGAAATAGAACTTCAAGTCATTGCCCTCAAGCCCTTTCCATCCTTAACACTTATGAGATTTTGCCACCTGTTAAGAGAGACAGCCATGGGCTTTTTCAGCTGTTCTTTGATGTTAAGGCAATTTTGACTTAAAAACAAACTTCCACTAATGATCACTATGAGCAAAACACCAGTTCAAAGAGCCCAGCCAAACTTACCCAAGTTCTGGCATGCCCGCTTGCCCCAGTGTGCACATGGAAAGCATCTCTGATGTGATGCCCGAAGCACCGAGTGAGGATGCCGTGTCAAAGTACATGCAGAATGCTCCATGGGACATAAGCCCTGAGGCTTGGAGCTGGGCACCAGTGGTTCAAGCAGCAATTGGCACTCACATTGTGTTCTGCTATGTTCTGACACCTTCAAGTTCACTAAGCATATGCTCAAGCATTCAGAATCCTGGGATTTCCAGTTGGAAAAACAAGCACTGAGTGCTTTCTCCTAAGAGAAAATGCTAGCAAAACTTAGACCTTCCCTGTAGGGGCATTGAGCCTGCTTCCTTCTCAGCTGGTGGAGTGCTTCAGAGAGCCAACTGGGGAGGGCCCTGAGGTGCAGCAGCCCCCCCACTGCTCTTGAGGCTGCTTCTGCTCAGGGGCTCCACAGTCTACAGTGTGCTCCTTTCCCTTCACATGGCCCCACCAAGGTCAGTATTCTTGCGGATCACTACCTGTACCCAAGACACCATGGAACCTCATCCCAGAGGACTGCTACTTCCTCAGAACCCTAGCTCTAACACAATCAGGCTGACACACCACAGCCTAGAAAGATCTGAACATGGGTCTTGGCTCTCCTGTTTGCCATCTCAGTGACCTTGGAAAAGCCACTAAAAGCTAAAAGAACCTCCATTTTCTCATGTGCTAATGACTCCCAGTTCTACTGGTAAGAAATTAGAGTAGGTAAACAGCAGCACAGTGCCCAGCGTGGGGTGGGTGCTCAAGAAATGGGACATCCCCTTACCCCCAGCTATAATGTTGCCCTGCTTTCAAGGCCCTGTCAGTTGTTGGTACTGCAGGAAGTCTTTCTCAAATCTGAAACCAATAAGTCCAATGCATTGTTCTGTATCATCTTTTGTTAAGTCTATACCCAGACTGTAATAATGGTCCCTTTACCTTCTGAATATAGCCCTCATTACTCTAAGGTTTACTTAAAAAAATTTTTTTCTCTCTTCTCCCCTCTCCTCATTCCTAACAAGATTAGGGAAACAGTGTTATCTTTTCTTTCCCAAGTTAATTGCCCTTGAACACACCCACCACAGGAAGGAGATGCCTGCTGAAATCTGGGAAGTGAATATCTCCCAAATTAACAAGTGAATCCTAACAGGCCATCAGGGCGCTCTAGGATCACCTACCAGAGCACACTTGGAATGTAACCCTTGAAGAGTTCCCTTAAAATACCCCTGTCCCTCCTGATCAAGAAAGTCACAGCCTTTGGGACAGGAGCCCTCTGTGTTTCTCCTTTGCTAGCAAAGCAATAAACCTTATTTTTCCTTTTTCTCAAAACCATGTCCTCATTATTAAATTGGCATTGATTGTCATTGGGGACAGTGACTCAGCTTTCAGTTATAAGACTATATGACTTCTGCATATACTTTTTTGAGTTCTCATTCATGAGCCTCTTTCCTACCTCAGGACCTTTATGCCCTCTGTTCCCTCTGCCTGACATGCTCTCTCAAACTCACCCTTCAGGTCTCCTCTAAATATCACCCCCTCTGGAGGCCTTTTCCCAACCATCAGATCAAAGCCAGCTCCCAGGGGGGATTATTTTCAGTCAGCCCTAGTTGCAGCTGCACTATCTATACACCCTCTCTCTGCCCCTGGTGAAGCAACTCGAGAAAGCTGCAACCCCAGATCCTAGCACAGCACCAGGCACCGAGAGCACCCAGTAAATTTCCATTAGTTTGAGGAGCACAGGGTAAGGGACAGTGCCAGTGCCTCTGCCTCCCTGGTGGTGCTCAGCTTCATAGAGCTCCAGGTACCCCGGAGGGACAGGCAGGGCCTGAAGACCAGGAGCAAAGTTGGAGAATTTTCTTTCTTTCCTTTTCTCCTTCTTTGCAGTGCTGGGATCTGAACCCAGGATGTGCACATCCATTGCCCAGAAAGCACTCTACTACTAAGCCACACCCCAGCCCGCCTTTTCTAGAATTTCATTCACAGGTGAGAAGTGTTTAAAGGGGGAAAAATAAAAATGTAAAGACTAAGGAAATTCTGTGACTGTTAATAACCAACTCTGATGTTTACCTCCAAGCCTGGTTGTCAGCTTCTGGTGCTCCTCTCAGTGACAGGCACACACACCCAGAGCTGCCCAAGCTGAAAATCCCTGTCCCTTCCTGGATTCTCCCCTTCCCCTCATATCCGGTCTGATGTCAGCTCCATATTTTTACCTTTTTCAATCTTTATGGAATCTGCCCTCTTCTCTTCTTCCACTGGCCCCTTCCCTGTCTGTGCTGTCATCTCTGCTTCTGTAGGTTACTAAGCTGAATGGTCATGGGCTCCCCACCCCAAGTCTTGCTCCTTGGTGAGCAAAACTAGGAGTGTGATTTCCTTAAATAAATAAATAAATGAGATCATGTCACTGATATGCTCCAGTTCAGGACCCCCAAAAGACCACCAGAGACCAAGATCGATGTAAGCAGCTGTTGAGAGCCACAGCCAAAGGGGCCCCAGCAAACTTCCAGCTGCCAGCAAACTTCCAGCTGCTGGCTGATGATTGGCTCACAGCGGCCCCAGCAACATCTAGCTGATTGGCTCCTGGGCCCCAGCAACATCTAGCTGATTGGCTCCTCTGCGGTGATGCTCATTGGACTGTTTCCCTGCCCTTTCAGACCACGGAGCTGCTCATTGGGGGACTTTTTTGGCTCCGCCCACATGACCCAGCCAATCGGCCTCAAGAGCAGGAGGATTGTGGGAGGTGGAGAGAAGCTTGTGGGGGAGAGAGAGGCTTGGGGAAAGCCGGTGGTGGCAGTTGAGGCTCTGAGGGTTTTTCCTGAGAGACTATTTTGTTTGTCGTGTGTGGTTCTAAAAATAAAGTTAGTTTCTTTTGACAAGTGGCTCCTGATTGTGCCCAGCCAGACTGCGGCATTTGGTGGCTCGCACGGGGAGCGACTGAGGGTAAGTGAACTGCTCGCCCCTGAGGGCAGGGCGAGAGGATGGGTAGCCATTTTAAGATTCTTCTTTTGTTATTTTGTTTCACTTTTGTTTTAAGTTGCCTGTCCCTGGAGATGTGTAAGATGGAAGAAAAACCGCTCACATCTGAGGAACAGATAGGGAGAAAGGACGGATGGACATTTCAGGAGGCTATTATAATGATTTTGTGTTGTTCCAATTTTGTTTCACTCAGTTTCAGTTTTCTTAGGCGTTATCTTGTTGGGTTGTATTATAGTAGAAATACGGGATCAGAAATTAGTAAAAAACAAACTGAAAGAGTGTTAAGTAAATTGTTAGAGGAAGGAGGCATCTCAGTAAAATCAAGAACAATCAGGGCATACGTTGATACAATACAAAAATGTAGCCCATGGCTTTTTAAGGAGGAGTTGTTGAATATATCACAATGGAACCAT